GAAAAGTAAAAGTTTTACCTGAAGTTTAAATTTCGATTTCAAAATACTCAAAAATTCATTAGTTAGCTTCAGCAGCATGTTCAGTGCCGCCTTTTAAGATCTGAAGTTCTCAAAGGTGCAACCTTCCCAGAACAGACAGCCCGTCAGTTTGGTATTTCAACATATTTTTTGGCAAAGCCATAATTAAAAATCAATTTGGCCAAAAAGTTCCTATTATGCAAGAGCAAGAGCAAGAGCCGCCGCGACAGGCTCGTAATAACCAGGTTCGTTGCCTCAGTCTTTTGTTTGCCGTTTTGTCAAAGGTGCAGGCAGGCACCCCATCCCCCATCTGCCGCCAGACATCAACGTGAGCCGCACATATCGAGCATAATATCGCGATGTGGAACGGCATGGTCTATTGGAACCCGGGTTCATGCTATGTCAAGCATGATTTCGCTGTTTGGGGGCCGTGCCTCAGAGACCCATTAATGAGCACACAAACTGGCATTTGACAGATTTTTTAATTAAACCATACAAATTGCGATTCTTCACGCTTTTCGCCACACGAAACAGTGCGGATATTATTGCTGGCCCACATGGCCGTAGGCATTGAAGCGCCTCCCGCTCCTTCCCTGCGAGTAAAAAAAAGTGGCATTCCAGTTAGCGATAAGCGAGTAATCTCAGCAAGAAACGAATGAAATGCCACCGTTATCGAATATCTGGCAGCTGGCAGCTCCCGCGTAAATGCAATTTAAGGAGCGGGGCAAAAAGAAATTTGCATAGGCGCCGAGCTAATGAATTTTTGCTGCCTGCTTACATAATTATCGGCGGCACCATTATGGCCTAAACCTGGACCTCGTGCTCCAAGTCCAAGTGCTCCTTTCACTTTTGTGCGAGTGCGCCTACCTAATTATTCCTGCTCGGCCGTGTCCACATCCATTGTGTCCCCTGTGATTTCGCACATAATTAAGCTGCGCAAAATTTACTTAAATTAATAGTTTTATTGTTTTGTCTCCGCCTGAGTCTGAGTCGAGCCGGAGTCATGCGGAAGCGGCGCCCTACCAAAAATGGGCATCCGAAACCTGCCACAAAAAATCCAGAAGTGAAAAGGGGTTACAAGCGATTACCACTAGCAGCAATAAATAAGAAAAAAGTAATCACAGAGCCACATCATTTCACTTTCTTGACAAATCGCAAAAGCGAATGAAAAGATTATATAATCCGGTTCTAAAATATCTAAGTTTAAATGGCCAACAATAAAATGTAAAATTTCTTCAGATAGTTGAACAAATTAAATATTTAATGATTTCAAATATACAAAAACCCTAGAAAGAAACCTGAAATATATTTTTCATTTGGTAAATGGCAAAGCCAATGACTGGTTTTTAGCTAGAGCTTGAAAACCAATAATGTAGGTCCACATCGGCATCACGAAGTGATGGTCCTTCGTGTCTGGATACTACAAGGGCAATGGAACTCATTATTTGCTGTACGGAATGAAAAAAAATATATTTTTTAATTTTAATGCAGATTTGTAGATGATTGCTCCAGAATCATTTAGAGGTATGCCACTCCAAAATCCGATTAAGATAAGTTGAGTTATGGAGTTTAGAACTTCAGCCTTAGGACATTTCTTAACATTTTTGAATTTCTACATCATAACGACAGAAAAATTTCAAAAAAAAATTTAGAAAAAATAAATTTTCAAATTTGAATGCAGATTTTTAGAGAATTGTTCCAGAATCATTTAGAGGTATGCCACTTCTCAATCCGATAAAGATAAGTTGAGTTATGGAGGTTAGAACTTCAGCCTTGGGACATTTTTGAATTTCTACATCATAACATCAAAAAATTTACAAAAAAATTAAAAAAAAAAAATTTCTAAATTTAAATGCAGATTTGTAGATGATTGCTCAATAATCATTTAGAGGTATGCCACTCCAAAATCCGATTAAGATAAGTTGAGTTATGGAGTTTAGAACTTCAGCCTTAGGACATTTCTTAACATTTTTGAATTTCTCCATCATAACATCAAAAAATTTACAAAAAAATTAAAAAAAAAAATATTTCTAAATTTAAATGCAGATTTGTAGATGATTGCTCAAGAATCATTTAGAGGTATGCCACTCCAAAATCCGATTAAGATAAGTTGAGTTATGGAGTTTAGAACTTCAGCCTTAGGACATTTCTTAACATTTTTGAATTTCTACATCATAACATCAAAAAATGTACAAAAAAATTAAAAAAAAAAATATTTCTAAATTTAAATGCAGATTTGTAGATGATTGCTCAAGAATCATTTAGAGGTATGCCACTCCAAAATCCGATTAAGATAAGTTGAGTTATGGAGTTTAGAACTTCTGCCTTAGGACATTTCTTAACATTTTTGAATTTCTACATCATAACATCAAAAAATTTACAAAAAAATTTAAAAAAAAATATTTCTAAACTTAAATGCAGATTTGTAGATGATTGCTCCAGATTCATTTAGAGGTATGCCACTCCAAAATCCGATTAAGATAAGTTGAGTTATGGAGCTTCGAACTTCCGCCTTTGGACATTTCTTAACATTTTTGAATTTCTACATCATAACATCAAAAAATTTACAAAAAAATTAAAAAAAAAAATATTTCTAAATTTAAATGCAGATTTGTAGATGATTGCTCCAGAATCATTTAGAGGTATGCCACTTCTAAATCCGATTAAGATAAGTTGAGTTATGGAGTTTAGAACTTCAGCCTTTGGACATTTCTTAACATTTTTGAATTTCTCCATCATAACATCAAAAAATTTACAAAAAAATTAAAAAAAAAATATTTCTAAATTTAAATGCAGATTTGTAGATGATTGCTCCAGAATCATTTAGAGATATGCCACTCCGAAATCCGATAAAGATAAGTTGAGTTATAGAGGTTAGAACTTCAGCCTTGGGGCATTTTTGAATTTCTACATCATAACATCAAAAAATTTAAAAAAAAATTAAAAAAAAAAATATTTCTAAATTTAAATGCAGATTTGTAGATGATTGCTCAAGAATCATTTAGAGGTATGCCACTTCTAAATCCGATTAAGATAAGTTGAGTTATGGAGGTTAAAACTTCAGCCTTGAGACATTTTTGAATTTCTACATCATAACATCAAAAAATTTACAAAAAAAATTAAAAAAAAATATATTTCTAAATTTAAATGCAGATTTGTAGATGATTGCTCAAGAATCATTTAGAGGTATGCCACTTCTAAATCCGATTAAGATAAGTTGAGTTATGGAGGTTAAAACTTCAGCCTTGAGACATTTTTGAATTTCTACATAATAACATCAAAAAATTTACAAAAAAATTAAAAAAAAATATATTTCTAGATTTGAATGCAGATTTTTAAAGAGGTATGCCACTTCAACATCCGATTAAGATAAGTTATTTTACTCTTTTACTCTACGAGTAACTGGTATAATAATAGTAGAATTGTTACGAAATCAATTAAATTACCACCCTTTACATTGCTTTCAAATATCATTCTTCGGCAAACTATAAAGCAATTAAAATGTTCGATTTAAGGAAAATTTTTATAAGCGTGGCTTATGACAAAAATTGACAGCATTTCAAATTCGTCTTGACCGCTGCAGGTTAATTTTTTGCCAGAATTCGCTAATTAGCTTAGCCTACTTCAACGGAGCTAAAGATAAATGGTCAACAATATAAAATATAAAAAGATTAAAGAACCGGGAACTAAGAGGTCAAAAGGTGAGCTATTCTTCAAAGATAGTTCAGTCGAGAGGCGATCGTTGCTTCGATCAGTTGTAGAAACGTGTTCTAGAATGATTGCAAGTTTATCGCGAATAGTGCTTATTGCGAATGTGTGCGTCCTGATGGCAGGTGGTCAACCAAACAATTGGACTGGCTACTATGTAGACAATGGCACCCACTATCTGCTTTATGAAGGGCCACGAATTAGGCCCCAGACTTTTTTGCCTGGAAATATATCCACTAACCCCGCCATAAATGCTCTGGAAGCACAGGACCACCTGCCCACTCGAATTGTGAACGGCAAGAGGATCAAGTGCACCAGAGCCCCATACCAGTGTGCTCTGCACTTTGATAAATACTTCATTTGTGGGTGTGTTATACTTAATCGGCGATGGATTCTAACTGCCCAGCATTGCAAAATTGGCAGTTCTGGCAGCTATACAGTTCGAGCGGGCTCAACGCAGCAGAGAAGAGGTGGTCAGCTTCTACAGGTTCAGAAAACTGTGTGCCATCCGCACTACAGTAAATACACCATGAAGAATGACTTGTGCATGATGAAGCTAAAGACTCCACTGCATCTCGGCCGCTGTGTACAGAAGGTGAAGCTTCCCTCCACGAGAACCAAGCAATTTCCCAAATGTTACCTGGCCAGCGGATGGGGTCTCACCTCACCCAACGCCCAGAATGCCCAGCGATATCTGCGGGGTGTTATCGTTTGCAGGGTGAGTCGAGCCCAGTGCCAGCAGGATTATCGGGGCGCCGGGATCAAGATCTACAGGGAAATGATCTGCGCCAAGCGAAAGCACCGAGACACTTGCTCCGGAGATTCCGGAGGACCCTTGGTCCACAATGGCGTGCTCTACGGAGTGACGTCGTTCGGAATCGGTTGTGCCAGTGGCAAATATCCGGGAGTGTATGTCAGTGTGTTGCAATATACTCGCTGGATTAAGATGGTCGCAAAAAACAATTAAAATCCCATTTCAGTCAAACAAAAAGTCTATCAGTTTCTTTATAGATTAAGTTTTTTATAACTTGATTTGTTGCTTTTGTGATATTACTTGAATAATAAGTTCAATATTTGCGTTGTCAAGCCCCCAAGTGATAGAATGTGGTATTTATAGCGCCAATTAATATTCATGCCAAATACAGTAGTTCGCATGCCAAACCTGGGTTCATTAGCATTCTTGATTCCCAGCAAGCATAGAGTTCGCGCCCAAGGGTCAAGAAGTCGACTTTCAGTTATCGGCCATTACTCGTTCTTTACGGTCTGTACGGATGATGAAAATTTTGGCGTTGATTTTACTGCTCATTTGTGGGCATAAAACCTGCGCTTCATCCACCCAGGAACGGATTGTGGGTGGAGTGGAGCTGCCCATTCATCTTACACCATGGCTGGCTTCGATCGTGGTGCATGGCAACTATAGTTGCACTTCGGCATTGATTACGTCTCAGTGGCTGGTCACGGCTGGACATTGCGTACACTATCCAGATAGCTACTCCGTTCGCGCAGGATCTACTTTCACTGATGAGGGTGGTCAGAGAAGGGACGTAGTGAGTGTTATCCTTCATCCAGATTTGAATCTACGGACGCTGGAGAACGACATCGCCTTGTTGAAGATAGGTAAACCCTTCAGTTTGGGAGCAAATATTCAGGTGGTGAAGCTTCCGGGTCTTAACATACTTCCAAGAACCCTCTGGGTTGCCGGTTGGGGCTATCAAGATGCCACTGACAGTGAATCGGAACCCAGACTACGTGGCACAATGGTGGAAGTTATTGATCTGAGACGTTGCCAGCGACTGTACTCCCATCTGCATCGTCCCATTACGGATGATATGGTGTGTGCAGCAGCAGCTGGACGAGATCACTGCTACGGCGACTCAGGGGCTCCCTTGGTTCACCGCGGCATTAGCTATGGAATCGTATCCTTTGCTCATGGATGTGCTGACCCACATTTTCCAGGGGTGTACACTAGACTAGCCAACTATGTAACCTGGATCTTCAATGTCCTGGAAAGTGATTGGAAAATGAATGTGGCATATTAAAATTAAACAATATATGCAACAGAGTTTTTATTTATTTCTTTCTCATTGTACCACTTTGCTCGGAAGTCAGTTCTTCCTGCATCTGCTGGTTGCTCATCGCTCCTGGAATACCCGATGCATTATACAATCCGCCAGCGTTTTCCCAGCCATCTGAGAAGCCGCTCTTTCTCGTGCCCAACCAAGGCGATAAACTCGTACCGCCGCCGCTCGACGGCAAATTTGTGTAAATTATGTATTTGTGCATTTTGATTTCATTTAAACGAAGTTTCCTGATGGCCCCTGGCGCATGTCAAATATCAAAACCGAAACCAGCCTGCCAGCTAGCTGGCCACTTGCGCAACAGCCACATCCAGCAATCCATATCCATATCCAGCCCCATCCCGATTCCATATCCACATCCCCACATCCCCATCCCCATCCCAATCCCAATCCCAGCTGGCCAAAATATCACTGCCATATGCGGTGGGCGTGCTCCGTTAATGCTGCACTCTGGCGTCCCCCGAAATTAACATAATCGTGCTGCCGTTGCTGCTGGGATCGGGATCGGGATGCGGATTGGTATTGGGATTGGTATTGTCTATGCCTGCGCCTGCGCCTGTGTATCCGACACGAGTGTGATGCCCCCAACAAAGTGTTGAATGCTGGCGCTGGCTGTCAAGTGGAGGCCCCCGGGCATTGGCACACTCAGTCGCCACCCGCTTAGTTGTGCAATGGGAGCATCAAAAGTGGTCTGACTTTTACATGGATTTGCTTTGCTTTGTTTTTTTAGTTAAAATAAAATTTTAATAATATGAAAATATGCTTAAAATTTGCAGTTTTGCAAGTGTATATGTGATTTTCGGGGGTGTGGGTGTGTGTGTGTTCATATATATAAAAGGTTATCAGTGTTGTGGGGTGTATACGCTTGCTAGTCAGGCATGTAAATCTCTTAAGCATAATTTCACACCGAATCGGCTTTCTTTTATATATATATATGTATATTTTGTTTATCATTAAGCTTATACAATTCGTTACGTATTCTAACCTAAATGTATACCATCATTTTGTTTTGCTGTTTGCTTTGTTTTAGTTTTCGATTTGCTCTCGTAATCTTGTTCTTTGTATATGTGTTCAAAGGTTTTTGTAAATTTTAAACTAGTCGCTATAAAAATGTTCAACAGCAAACTCGCGTATGCATTGGTGACTTGAAGGTGGACCAAAAGCGAATGCACAAACAAATCAACTGTCAACTCGAAAAAATCGTAAAAATGTGTTTAAAAATCGATAGCCAAAAGCCATTAATAATTGTATTTGGTTTCTGCAGCATGCGCGCACAATAAATTTTACAAAAATGAACGTAAAAAATGTACAATTACAAGCACACATAATTTGTTTAACATGGTTTTGCACATGTTCTCTCTACCAATGCATTCTTTAAAGCTATATAACAATTTTTTAAATTTCATTTTGCATCATTAGTTCTGGACTCGATTGTATCTCCTCTGTACCGTCTGCCTTCTTGATTTTTGCCCCAACAAGGATAGAAATTAATTAACAGTAAGTGATCAACTAAGGAAGTACTTGAAGACTGACAGTGAAGGATTCCCCAACAACCACACAACTTCAGGGGAGGTGGGGCACATATACCCATGAGCTTTAAAAACATTAAATTTAGAGTGTGAATCGTAGGGAGAGTAATTTCATAGTCAGCTGAATGGCGTCGGGGATGCCTTGCGATTTCTTATGGGATGGTTTACAGATTTAGTTATTGCAAATGTGTTAGACTCAAGTTCAGTTTAATTGTAAGCTTCCTGCGCAACAGTTCTCTACTCATCTTGGCTGGGTGTCGTTGCTGTTTCTGTTTAACTCCTCAATTTCTATTTCGCTGGATCTTGGCTTTCTCTCTCTCATACATCACATATTTTACACTTTAATAATACTTCCTTACACATAATTTATTAATTAATTCATATTTCCCTCTCTGCAGTTATGTAGGGCTAAAGTTGGTTGCTTCTGCTGCTATTGTTGCTAACGCTATTGGACAGCTTCTTATACACCAGTCAGGCCTTTATTAGTTGACTTTCCCTTAATTGATGATCCCGCTGCTGCTCCTGCTTACATTGTTGCTGATTGATCGTCGCCAATTTACGACAAAAACGGATTTGTAGCTGCTTCCGGTTTGATCCACGGCATGTTGTTATTTTGCTGCAAAATGCAATATCTCATTAGTTTGATTCCCGTATTTCAGTACGCACAAGCTGAGTTACTAGATAAAAGCGAACAACATGCTGAGTTTAGGATATTTGAGCCAACTACAGGGTTTACATTATTGGTTTAATAGTTTTAGTTGTTAGAGGGAATTCTACGAGTTAAATAGAAGAGCATGCACATTCGAAAAACAGTTTTACCCATTAGCATTTATTGCTTATTGTATGTTTTATTTAAGCGTCCAAGCCTCCATTGATGGCTACAATTAGAAAATATTATGGATCAACTGGGTTTTAGCAGAGCTTCTGGTTAGGATGAGTACGTATTCTCCGGGAAGCAGCATGGGAAACCCTGTGCTGCACTCCCCAATCAGCAGCTCATAGTACTCATAATGGCATAAAACAAACAAAAAGAAAACTAAATCAACGAAATAAATCAAATCAAATCAAAACCAAAATGCAAGCTAAACAATAAGCAACAATTTCTTGCAAGGGTGGTAGTGTGGGAATGGCAGCAGCGTCAACTTTAGAGGCAGCAAACTCACTTCCAGCTTGCAGTTGGCCGACGAGGCTGGGGGGCCAAAACTCTGGACAGGATCGGCCACAAAACCCAGGGGAGCAACACTAATTCCAGGGGTTTCGGCCAGAGATTCGGATAGGGCGCTGCTATAGCTGGCAGCAAAACTTGAATAAAGTCTGGGAGTACCATAGTTGCTGCTGATATTGTTATTATCCTTGCTGTTGTACATAAAGCTATCATCAGCAGGTGCTGTTGGACTATTATAGTATGGACGTTCGTTGAATATATCCATGTTGCGAATGCCATCGACGCCCGGACTCGGACTTGCGTAGCAGCTGTGTAGGGTGCTGTTGCTGGTGGAGCTATTCATATTGCTTGGGATATTGCTATTACCAAGGATATTGGTGCTGCTGCTGCTGCTGCTACTTTGATACGCATAATTGTAGACCTGCGAATTGGGCTGTGGCTGGTGGATGTTGGCGGAGGGAATGATGGGATTACTAAACGCACTCAACAGCTGAAATTCACCCACGGACGAGGTCCCCAAATTGAGGCTAGTGGGACGCACGGGAGGCGGAAGTTTTGGCTGGGATATCGGGTTTTACATGCAACAGTTGCTCAAAACGAAATGACAGAAGGACAAACGATAGTAAAAGGAAACAAAATGCAGACGTGAAATGATAAGATAGTTTCAAAGAGTAAACAGAAATATCGATAAGTCATCAGAGAGCAAAACCTCAATTAAAATAATTCAAATATAAGTAAAAAGAACGCAGAGTTTCCCTAACACCGCAGACGCACAAAATCCGCCAAATTCTGGCAACTCACCTGTGAAGTCGCACTAACGCCACCCATTACAGGTGCCCAGGGATCTTGGTTCATGCTGACTGAAAACGGAGCCTGTTGTTTCAGCTGATTGATGGACGGCACCTAGTAGCATCCAAAAATGTAAATAATAAGCAAATCGATGTGCATTTAAATCGAATCACAAAATTCAACTCACGGCTGGCTGCTGTTGCTGGAATAGATTCGTCTTGGGTGGCACTACGTTGTCGCTGAAGGGATTGTACGTCGGCTGATTACCCGTTTGCGTTTGTGGCGCAATCGGTTTGATCAGATTGTCCAGGTTAACAAGCGCAGAGTTCTCGCCGAGGAAAGAGTGGGCATCCTTTAGAGGTTTCTTTGCCGTGGCGCCCGTCGACGGATGCATACTGCTGTTTATAGCTCCATTTCCGTAGTTCACCGATAGCGGGTCCATGTCATCGAGCAGAGAAGCTGGAAATAGTTTCACGGTGATAAGCTCGAAGTGATGTTCTCTTATGAAAGCCTTACCATTGTTGTTGTTGGAGGCGTTGGAATTGCTGTGCTCACTCTTGTTCCGGTTGGTAATCAAGTCAAACTCATCAAACTCGGGTGATTGTTTCTGAAATGGACCAGAGTATTTTAATTCATTACATCAACAAATAAAAAAAATTAAATTAGCAGTTCAATAATCTGCATAAATATTACAAAAAAATTTAAATTTTATAATCAAATTAAAGATGACAACACCGCTTACCTTTATGGCACCTGTTCCCAGGGCTTTCCAGGGATCATCTAGTGCTCCCACACCCGTCTGAGGTGCTACTCCTCCTGCCCAGGGATCTGCCAAGCCAGCTGCTGCTGCTCCTCCTGCCGCTGATGCTGCTGGCTCTGCTAGCCAAGGATCAGAAGATGAGCTACCATTATTTGTCGCATGGTTTACGGGCGCAGCTCCTAAAGCTCCGGCAGCAGTGGATTTGATCAGCCAGCCTTCAGCAGCAGCACCGGCCGGAGTGGCTCCACGTCCATTTTGGTTGGCATTGCCATTGGTCTGCAGCCAACCCTCGTTGGAGGAGCCCGAGGCCACCGATGGCGACTGAGTGCGAGCACCCCAGGCATCGTTTCCAGCTCCTGCACCCAATGGCGCAGAACTCATCGGCACTCCGGCACCCATGATGGTTCGGGGGGCACCGGAGGGGTTCCAGGGATCCACTTGTGGCGAGGATGTACCTGACCATGGATCGGACAGCTGACTGGGAGCTCGCGGACCAGGCGTGGCCCAGGGATCGACTACAGCCGCGGGGGCGCCGCCTGCAGCGCCCAGCGGCGGACTCGAGATGCTCGTAGCGCCCAGAGAAATATCCAGCAGATCCAGCAAATGGCTCTGTGGTTCCTGCTTCTTTGGCGCAGGAATAGGTCGTCCGTTTGGATCCCTAAAATATTAGAGAATTTTATTGGTATTGGCATCAGAAAAGTTCTCTACGATATCTACTCACTTGAAATCCTGCTCACTCTGGCTGAGCGCGAGTTGCAAACGCACATCATCACTGCGCCGCTTGGCCTCCTCCTGCTCAGCTTCCTCTCGTGACATGGCCATGGCCAGCTGGAGCTGCAGCTCCTCCTCGCCGGCCGTCTGGGGACGAACCATTTCCAGCTCGGAGACCGATTTGGGCGGCTCCTCCTGCCAGCCCGGCGGCAGATCTCGTTGTGATGGTCCATCGATATAGCCATCGCTGCCGAATCCACTCTGGTGCTGGGCAAATCTCTCCTTGGCCTTCAGCGCCTTCGCACGCTCGTTCTTTAATCGCTCGTCATCCTTGAGGAGAGTGACCAGCTGCTTGGCCTTCTCACGAACATGGGTGCCCTGATCCTTGCCTTCCTCGAAGTACACAAACTCTCGCAGGGTTTGAATGGCAAAGATGTTCTCCTTGCACTGCTGGGCCACCTTTTCCGAGCCGGTCTTAATCAGATACTCCAGCAAAATGAGTGCCTTGTACACGTGGCGCCAGTTCTTGCCGTGGTCATTTAGACGCTTCCAGATCATCTGCATGATTTCCGAAAAGGCAACCACATTGTTGGTGAGGTCCGCTATCTCGCCCATGATGGCGGCCGAAGGACCCCACGGGTCATTCGAGGTGGCCTCGCGCACTTTGACCTATGTATATGAAAGTTTGGTTTTAAATAGCTGAATTGGCTTATGGCTCGTAGAGATCACTCACCTGGGCATCGGAGTAGTTGTGCGCAAGGTTCTTGATGTTTCTGCGCAGACCAGCGACATTGACCTGCATATCGTCCTTTTGCTTTCTCACTGTGTGACAAGAAGGATGAAAAGGGGTGTTAACATGGTTATATCTTCTCTATCCAAACGTTTAGTGGGATAGGGGGCTTATCGGTTGGATTGTGGTAAGGGTTATTTGATCTTGGTTTTAGTTTTGCTATCGAAGATTTCCGCTTTGATGTTAATGCGAATCGGTGTGTGGTAAATTTGGGATTTTGGGTTCTTTTTGACAGTTTCTGCGAGGGTTTCCGAATCTAAAGTGTTAAGTGTGTTTCGGACTACAAAATCTGAACAAAAACAAACAGAAACGGTGAAGGCGAATCGGTTCCAGTGGGTGTGGAACGTATGTGGAAGGTGTTACGTGATATCTTTGGTGAGTTTTGCTGCTCTGTGTTGCTGCTCGATGTGGTGAGAGTTGAAACTCAAGTTTCAAATCGAATCGGATCCAATATGTTCAATATGTCCCATTTATATTTGGCGGTATATATAATTTTTTTGTTGTGGAATAGAAATTGAAGTTATATGAGATGAATTAACATTGAGACTTACTTTTCGTTTGTTTTTGCGTTTGACTTGGCTTTTTATTTTCTATACAAAAACTTTGGACTTTTGCTAGAATAAGCTATAGATTCTTTTGCTGTTTTTGTTTTTAAATTCGTTTTGGTTTATGTTTATTGCTGTTTAAGTGCTCCAAAGCAAGCTATATATGAGATACAAGATAAATACAATCAAAATACATAGTAAAAGAGTACACATACGGATATACATATTTATATATAGTCAAATGTCGGTTGTGACTGTATTTGCAACAGTGCAAAACACACAAATTAATTGTTTAAGTAATCGCCAAACTCAAGTGCACCAAACAAAAAAAAGTGAAAGCATATGTTGAAACAAAAATTGAGATACGAAACTCTGAGATTTTAAAGCGCTGCTTTAAAAACCGCACCAGACTTTACAATACTAGATACACCCAGTCCGAAAGACTCTGGAAGAAATAATTCAATTTGCGGGCAAACAAAAAGCAAACGGAAAGGAAAAGCATGGCAAAAAAAAAATTAAACAAAACATGGCAAAGAGTATACCCCCCGACACTTCCAAGTCGACTAGGAAATACACAGCACAAAAAAAAGCAATATATGTTTAAAAACTTAATGAACAAATAAATACACAATTTATTTGCCACCGAAAGTGCTTAACATCAATTGAATTTTAACCATTAACAATTTATACAATTTAGATATGTACAAAAATGTTTGTATTTCGAATTTTGCCTAGTAATGTAATGGCAAACAGATTAAAATACTTCAAGAATTTTATCTTTTAATATTATCTTTTTTTATTCCTCTTCGTGGAATGTTCTTAATCTATCTCATGAGCTACATTAACCCTCTGCATCCAGAGCCTCTGCTTGAACTTAACCCATGGCAAACCGAAACAAGAAGCCGCAAAAGTGCAAATAGCCAAGGCTCAAGAATCAAAAAGTGGACAGACAAACGTCTGCGGCTATGTCTGGATATGCAAATTTTCAGACCAAACTGCATTATGCATTACAGGGCGACCCACAACCACAGCGAGAATTTATAGCAAATGAATTGATTTTTCACCGCCCTCTTTGCGCGGTTCCATCTATTTTTAAAAGCGAAAAATGCACACCGGCTAATCAAATTGCTATCGATTCAGTTGCAAAAGTAGCGAACGCTCTTCGAGTAGAATTACAAGTAATGTTGTTCCCGATCTTAAAGAAAAACATACGAGAATGTACATAAATAGGACGCAGTTACGAATTGAAGCTGATTAAGTATAAGAAAACTACGTGCATTGTTTGGCAAAAAGTAGATAAAAGCCCTTATTGCCGCAGTGTGTGGCACTTCACACACTTAATAATGTTTTCAAATTTATTAAAAACAATATAATCGAGCAATACACAGAAAAGGCAATATTGTGTTTGATAAGCGAATAGCCCGTTTTATTGGGTTATCGATAAGACCAAAAAACAAAAAAAAGTACCACTTTCTTGTTTCGAGTTATCATAAAGTGATTAGAAATAAATTTTAAAATAATAATTTGAAATTATTGATGTTTTCATAAAGGTCTTTCGGCACTTAAGGTAGTAATTGACCCCAGCTATCCCAAGGAAAATCTCAGAAACACTGAAAGTTAAGCGACGACTATTAACCAGTTTATGAGCTGGAGAATCATTTAGTTTCTGATATAAGCACCGTTCTTTATGCGGTCAGACGGGTCTATATTTATATTTGTTTATCTTTTGTGTAAACAACGCACTTGACACATATCGAGAAGAGCCGGCAGTGGTTCTCTCCATCGCGAACCCGCCTAAAACTGTATCTCACAGATAAACCCGTTTCGCAGGCATTCGAGCTATGCGAGAAATCAAGTGAATATATGTATGGGGGGAATGAATACTCGTAAATGGGCAGTGAAATTCATTGACCGATCGTAGTAGCGATCCACTGCGAAAAAGGGCCGTTTGTCTGCCTCGTTTGTTTGTTTTCATTTCGCCAGTGGAAGGCGAAATAATTTAATTAAATGTCGCGCAGTAAGACGGGCAAAAAAACACTACGCAAATGAAGTGCAAGAGTCAAGAAAAAGTGGGTGGCGCGGTGTGGATGGTGGTCTGTTTTTCTTCATCGTTTTTTTTTTTTATAGTGACGGTGGCCTGAACTTGAGCAAATTGAATGCCAGACGGCAGACAGAGCAACGACGAAGCTTTCTTTGTGTTTCTGTGCACTTGACATTCGCCGAAACGTCGCCGTTTTATTGCCAAAAAATATACGTCTGTGCTTGTGTGGGTATCAAAACAAACAGAATGGCGAACGAGTTGCGAATCACTTTGTTCCAAAGGCTGCGAGCCTTGACGGCAGCGGTTCAATGAACGCAGCAAGAGGCTGAAAAAGCTCCCCAAATGCTCCAAATGCTCCAAATGCTCCAAACTGAACTCAAAATGGGGAGCTACTGCGTGTGAGGTGTTCGCCGATTGATATGCGCGATGGTACTGATCACTCTGCGATCGCTCGTTATATCCAAACGCAATTAAATGCGAGCAAAATATTCCACATTCACGAGGCTATTTGACGGGCATTATTGTCAGACGTTTAGTATGTTTCCGCTAAGGTGGAAAATATTGATGAAAGCCTGTCAGTAAGCCCACAACAGATCGTTCTCTTTTGTTCCTATATACTTTTTTATCTCATTAAACAACGGGGAAGCTTTTCTATTTTGATCTTACAGGTTGAACTCAATTCTTTACAATCTTGAGGCGAACAAAAATGAAACATTTAATACAGGTTTGAATTGATATACTCAATACCTAAACTTATTTGTGAGCTCTTTTTATTAAACACCGAAAATAGCATCCGATTGGTAAGAATTTAAAGAATTTAAATTACTATTTTAAAGAAATTAATTAATTAAAACTATTAATTGAAACTATTTCCAGAGTAATAGATTATATACATATGTACAACGAAAGTTCCAAATAACAATAAAAAAGTCGCTGTTAAACATCTGCTTATCTGGAATTCGAGGAATTTCCAGTCTGTAGATATCCATGTTACTTTCGCAGATGAAATGTTTGCTTTTGGTTTACGGTTATCTGGGCTCTTGAGATGTTTTTCTATTAGCACCTCAAACAGGTGGAAAGGGTTAGCCGCTGGCGGCGAAGGTCACTGTTCGCTCGCTGATGCTGCCCACTGTGCAACACGATCACCGGCCCCTCCTCACTGCCCCTCGGCCACCCCTTCCCCGCTTGGCACTGTTGCATTTTCCAATGTTGCTGCAGCTGTTGTAAATGCGGGCGTACATTAGCTATCATTTCTATATAATATATGTAATATATTATGTATATGTATTAATGGCTACATGGGTGCTTTCTGTGGCTGTGTGCGTGTGATAACGAGCCAGAAATGCGATTAGATTTCATTTGTGACACTCAAGCTACTCGCACCCACACCCACACACGCACACGCCACGCACACGGACGCACTGATTGGGGGGCACACGAATGTGCGAAACTTCATTCATTACTCATCCGCCCCCCTCGCATACATAAACCTGTTTCCACCCACGCCCCTGGCAACCCCGAATCCCCGAATCCACAATGACTAATCACTCGACCGGCTAACGGCAGTTATCAAATTATAAAAAAAAAAAAACACAAAAACCGAAGAAGCGCTATCAATATAAAATACGGTTAGCGGGGAATAACGTTTAGACAAGGGGATCTATAATTACGGAAATTATTATTTAAGAAAAAGAAGCCCCAAAGAGAAAGAGAGAGAGAAATATGTTTGTGGCCCACTCCCACTTACTCTTTCGCTCACCTGCAATGTTTCTGTGTTGTTGTTGTTGTTTTTGTTGCTTCACTGCAGTTCGCCTTTGGGGGTACGAGTGAGTGTGTGTGTGTGTGTGTGTGTGCGTGTGTGGGGGCTCCGCTCGGCTGTCTATGTGTGTGTCTGTGTGTGCGACTCCTCCTCCCCAACTAGTTTTCTTTTCTATATTTTACGACTTTCTTTTCTTTCTTTTTTCGGACTCGTATAGACAAAGTCACAAGATGACGATGACGACAATGCGACGTCAACAAAAGGGGGGAAAACAGTGGAGCTGCGCGCACGATATGGATATCCAAAAATCCTGGCACTTTATCGGGTTTTTAGGGCTCTCGACGGCGATTGCGATGATATTGCAACTTATTTACCCTTTGCACTCTGCACTCTGCACACAAAACACGAATTATTATTTCTTTCTCTGCTTTTCGCTTTGTACTAGTGATGGGACCAGAACTGATGGGCACTCGATACATTCACAATATCGCGATATCGATTTATTCTTGCACCTATCGGTTCTTATCAGTTCCGAATGTTAGTATTTTAAAAATACTAGGTAATAAATGAACTAATTTATTTCTGTTACTTAATAATATTCATTTCTTATTATTCATTTCTATTTTGTACAATCTAAAACCGAATAACCATTTACTAACTTCAAACCAACAATTAATGTCGTTGTCTGCTTTTTTTCTTTTAAATCTTACTTTGATGAGTATTTCGGATTATAATTAAGAGAATGTTTAAAATATACTAATACTGCAAATTATCTACCGCGTATTTAAATATTATAACTCGCTGGTATGTTTTCGCTGTCCTCCGTTTTATACACATGCTATCGATGATAATCGATAACTTCCACACATCACTTATCGATTGCACTTCCCTTTCTAACTTACCAAATTGTGGTGAATTTTCTTGGGTGAAAGTGATAACGTTATTTTTGTCATTTATTTACAGTTGTACTTATTTATTTCTAACGTAAAGACTTAATGTTCTGTCTAAACATCTAAAACATTAAAATCAATTAATTGTGATATTTTTGTTATTGTGAGCTTAGAGTATTTTGGATCTCACCTCAACCGTTAGCGGTTACACGAGTTGGCGCCAATATAAAATTTTCAAAAACAAAAAAGGAACTTTGGATTTGCACTTTAATCATTTAATCAAAAATAACTTCAAGAAAATGCGGCAAGTTTTTAAAGAAGATAACAACAAACTCGAGTTTTATTTACGATTTTATTTAGAATACCATTTTCATTTTCGTATAATTACACGCTAAAATCTATTTTCTCATTTTGTTAACGAACTGATAACAATATTTTTTCTCGTTTTTTCTTCGTATTTTTTTTTCAGTTTGTGCATGTGCACGGCTACGGTTGTGTTTGTGTGTGGTTTTGTGTGTTTGTGTGTGAGTGAGTGCTTTTCGTTATTAACATTAGCTCGATGCGATTTGTTGTTGCTGTTGTTTAACTCTAAGTACCTACTTGTAGATGTTCAACGTTCATACGTGTATACAGTTATTAAATATAGATAATGTGCATATGCAGTTGCATATTCGATATCTCCAACTTCCTGTTTCTGTCGGTCATGCTATCGCTCTTTAATTTCACGGTTTGTTTCAATTTCGAAACCATTTTTTTCATTTTTTTATGATTATACTAAGCGAGCCGACTTATATTCAGATTTGTTTTTAGAAAATGTATCACCTTTCTATGTGTTTTAATGTATCAATATATAATCAGCTCTAGACATTTAAGAGAATTAAGAATACATTTTTTTTAAATCCATATAATTTTAACATTTTTGGAAAATTTCTTTTAATTCCGTGAAATTGAAAACCGAAAGAGTTCCGCTTGCCAACGCCAAAACACACATACGCGAAATTGAGCCCCCAACAAATAAGCTTAAATCATAAGACTGTCCTCGTCCGTTTGTCCCGAATTCAGGATTGAAAAACCCCGGTAATCGTATCGAATTTTGCATTCAAATCGACGAAAAAAACTCAACAAAAAAGCGTTTGGTTCGACAACTGTTCGATTTAGCGATGGCTTAAATAAAACATAAGAACTAAGTTAACTTAAGGCATACAAATCCGAAACTCGCTCCTTCCGCCGTTTGCATGCTGCTCCGTCCGATCTCCATCGATTCCACCGCCTCCATCCGTCTGCGATTTACAGTAAAATAATGTGGTTATTTTCGGGGGATTCCCCCGAGGAGTCTAACCCCTCCAAGCGCAGGACTCACTCCTCCGGCGGTTCCTCGGGAATCTGGAGGCTCTGCGCCGCGTGCGGATACTCCGCGTGCACTGAGTTGGAGTGCACCGACTCGGAGTCCTCCTCCAGCGCATTCGCCTTGCTCGGAGGCGGCGTCAGTGCATCATTGCCCACCGGAGGCTGCACCAGATTGGGGATGTACTCGACCGTCTCGTATTCGGTCTTGGCCACCGCCTCGTGGTCCAGATCCCGCTCTAGTTCTCGCTCCCTTTCGCGCTCCCTCTCCCTTTCCAGGTCCTGCTGCAGGGGATCGAGAATCACTGGCGGAACCAGGGCAGATGCCTCATCCTGAGCCACTCCTACATCCGTTTGATTGTCTGGAGTGTCCTGCGCATTGTGATCCTGCAGTTCCACAATCACGGGCAGCGTTTCATTGGGTTTCGGTGTCGTGGTGCTGGTGGTCGTCGTGGTGGGTGCTGTGGTGGTTATCACCTCGATGGGAGCCACCTGACTACTGGTCTCTGTTGTTGCCGTCGTTGTGGTACTTGTGGTAGTCGTGGTCTCCTGTGTGTTGTCCGTGGCAACTGGATTCGCGGCGGTAGGCTCATTCTTCTCCTCTTCTGCTGCCACGGGAAGTGGCAGAGGTGATGGCGGCGTAGTGGTGGTCAGCAGAAGTGGTGTTGGTAGTGGCGATATCACCGGATTGACCAATGCGGTGCTAATGAGCACTGGATTACCCAGAGTGGCAATGAGTGGCGGTAATAGCTCATTATTGGCCTTGATCAGCGATGGCATGATTACCCGCACCATTGGCTTTGGAGCCTCGCCTGCCAACTTCAGATTGGTCAACATCATGGGCAGGTTCACATTGTATAGTATCGGGAGTACTATGCACACCTCCTGGTCATTCTCAAAGCACTGGGATCGACCTCGAATTCGGGCCTCCTGGTCTGCCATCAATCGACACAACTCGTTCAACCCCACGTCGCACATGATGGGATTGTCTGGAGGAAGAATCAAAGAGTTTTTATCAACATCAGAGCTATAGTTATATTGGAGGTATAATTCTAGGCTTATTCTATATGGCTTATATAACGAATTTCCCATATGAATGGCTATAGTCATTTTGGAAAAGGTAGGAGCAATCCGAGCACCTAGCAAAGAAATCTTAGATGACATACCATCTAGATGTATCTCCAGTTTGCCGGGCACATTGTGATTTTTGCATCGTGTGTTGGTGACGAGTTCGCTTGATATGGACGTGATCTGGTTGTTGGTCAAGTTGGCCTGGCACAGAACGGGCAGTCCCTTGAAGTCCTGTTCCAGTTTGGTGATATTGTTGTAGGCAACCTTAAGGATTTTCAGGCTGGGCAACAAAGTCTACATGCAAACAATACGAATTAGTACACAATAGTCTACAGACAGTGAGTTGCTCACCATTTCCAAGGGCTTGAGCTCCGCCAGCTGATTCCCGGTCAGGTCGAGGATGTCCAAACGGATCATGCCATCGAAATCCCCCACCTGGAGGTGTTTCAATCGGTTTCCAGCCAAATTCAGTATCCGCAGATTGCCCAAGCCGGCCAAAGCTCCATTCAGAGAGTCGATTCTGTTGTTATCCAGATCCAGGTTGACAAGCATCAGCTCCTGCACTCCACGGGGATCGGGCAGCAGACGTTGGATGCGATTGCTGGACAGCTGGAGTGTCTTCAGCGAACGCAGTCCGTGCAGTTCCGCCATGGAAAACTCTTCGATGTCGTTGAATGAAAAGTTGGCGTTCTTCAGCTTAAGGATGGGCAGTAGCGAGGAGTTGAGCGACTTGATGTGGTTACAGCCCATCTGCAGGGTCTCCACCTTGGAGCAGGTGGCGAATTCGTCCTGGGCTAAGTACTCCAGCTCATTGTTGTCGGCCATGACCTCGGACAGATTGACGGCATTGCGAAGTACGCGATCGAAGGATCTCAGTTGGTTGCAGTGTATGTGGACCGTCTCCAGGCTGTGCATGCCGGCCATGTTGGCAGGTAGGCGTTCCAACCTATTGTTGTGGGCCATCAGGAGGCGCAGCTGCCCGCCATCGGGCAGCTCGTCATCCAGCGAGGTGATGTTATTCGCATTGATGAACAGGGACTCCAAGTTGTGCAGATCGTGAAGCGAGCCATTGAGCGACTCCAGTTGGTTTCTACCCAAGTGCAGGATGAGAAGGCTCTTGGGAAAGGATCCTCTGTCCAGGCGCGTGATGATGTTGCTCACCAGGATCAGGTTCGTCACCCGTTGAATGCCCCGGAAGTCCTCCTGCTGCACCGCCCGTATCTTGCACCGCCCAATGTCCAGAGTCAAAAGGCTCGGCATGTGGCTCAGGGCGTGCTTCGGGATCTCGTCGAGGTCGTTGTCGCCGATGCTTAGGTAGGTGACATTCGATAACCCGCGGAACGGCACCTCGGGCAGCGATCTATAAATAGCGGCAACAAAACAAATCCATTACAATTTCGTATTATTAGACGGAGGGAGCCGAGTGTTGGACACACGGCCAAAAAGGCAGTAGGACTACTCGGATCCAGTTCACCAATCCTCAAGAGACTTTTGAACAAAGGTGAAAGGTGACCATGGATTATCAGTAAAAATCAAAGGATTCTCTTGCACTAACTAATATCCAATGCCAATGACAATTTCTATCAGATGGAAAGACCTTCTGAAGCTGATTCAAGGAATTCGCAGATTGAAAGTATTATTCATTTGCGATGCGCTCCCTAATCTCTTCTATATTCTTATTTTGTTTGGTATTTCCCGATAATCAGGCAACATATATGTACATATGTATTATTCAATAGATAACACTCGGTTTTGGCGACATTTTTTAGAATTCTTGCGTTTATTCGTTAATGAATGTTTAATGGCGTTTGTTCAATTCATTTCTAAGTAATAAACGTAGCATTTGCATTTTTGGCAATTTTGCGCATGGCGGACGTCCCACGATTGCAGATTAAAATCTTAGTAAATTCGAAAATGTATTGTTTTTATGAATGACTCCAATAATCGTTATAGTGCGAGAGCAATGCCCCCTAAATCTGATTCACGCCATGACAGTGATTCAAGCCAATCTGTAATTAGTTTTGAATGGGCCCGTATCGAGTTTCGCATCCCTGGTCTATCTTTGGACCTGATGACGCAGCCTTATCAGGGGCTATGGCCCCATCCCGCTCCGCTGCACCTGATCAGTATCTTTATCGACGTCTGCAGGTGGCTATTAAGTTGTCGCCGACGAGGCGCCAAACGGCCCCCAAGAACAGCAGATTCATGATGGGAACTGGGCTGGATGGCGTGCCAAGTGAATCCTTGGCGCCCGTTATTGCCATGATGATGTGGAATACATATACATATGTGGATATATGGAATATGGACGTATGTATGGACGGTGGCCAGTGCAGCAGATTGATTGGCAGGCAGGCTCTATTTTTAGCCAGACGATCTTGATTGATTGCCGGCTCCGAGGAGGTGGAGTGCTACTTTATCTGCGAGCTGCGCTTGTCAAGCCTTGATTATGTAATGAGTGAAGCTGGCCGAGATGGACGCTCTGCCCAGATGCTCAGACACTGCGATACTGTATCCATAATGAGCCCGTCGAACTTGAGCACATAGATATCGAGATAGATAGATGGTGGGTTGGCTGGATGGATAGATGGTGGGATGGTTGGACGGATGGACGGATGGACGGATGGATGGATGGATGGATGACTGGTGTGTGCGATCGTGCAGAGATGTATCCACAATTCCTTAACGTCAGCGGTATAATTGTCACACGACCTAAACTGGCCCCTTGATCATTGATTGAGCGTAATAATAAAATTCAATTGGACTGCCTGCTTCGCTCTTGACTGACCCCGGACCAAAGACCACGGAACACGGAGAGAGCCCCCAACCGCATAGCATACATGTATACATATACCCCAAAATCGAAATTGAAAACAAAAACAAAAACATTCCATTTTAGAGTGCTAGTAGCAGTTGATATATTGAATGCTCTGTTATTGTTTGCTGTGCTACCAACACCGATTGAGTAACTTAAATCCGTTTCCATCGGACACATTATCTCTTTTTGGGCCAGACAGATCGGCTGGAAATATTCCATCGGACACCGACACCCAATAAATTATGTATGTACGAGTAGTTATCATAATTAATTGTCAGGCAGCAAGCGAATGAAGCAACATTCAACATTTTTCGCACTTTCCCAGGGCTGTGACTGCACTCCGATAATGCTGGTCATAATGCGATCACTGCAACAATAGCCTCAAACAAATCTGCGAGTGATTGAACACATAATGCACATATAGTTGGCCCCGAGCATGAGACTGATCGCTTATCGCCTGAGAAAGCACCAGACCAAAGTCATCAATCTGTCGAAAAGGCCACATAACTCCTTCTGCCAGATCCCATCCACCCGATGTCCTTATGTCCATTCAATAGTTGCCCACACTTCACCCAAGTGCTCGCTGATTATGGGCGATCGTAAAAGGCGATCATAAACTCAAGTTGAATTTATTTTGGCGCCAGCCATTAGGCATATTTAATAGTCGTAAAAAAATCAAATAAACAGAAGCTCTTATCACACATTGCTTTCAGCTGTGGTCTACATTCGGGCTAGGATGGTACTGATATGTGTACTTGGACCAGATCCATCAGTGCAGTGGGATCCAATAAAGGCAAGGCGTTTGATGCCAATGCCAACTCCTTACAATGTCTTTTCAAATTTGCCATTTTCCTAGAATTTAAACATCAGATTTTTAGTGATTTCCCCCATTCCAAAGTCTATCGGAAACGCCAAAAAATCTGAGAATCTCTGAAACGAAGCCGCTTGGGAATTTCATGCATGCCAGCGTATAAGTATTTAAAAATTTGTGATTTTAAGATGGCGCCACACAGGAAATAAATTTTTAAGCCGATGAAATACATGTTGTATAGAAAGGAATTTCGTAATTACTATGATAATTATTTTGCCCTTGAAAGATTAAAACTGTGTACCTAAGTATGTGCAATATTAGCAGCCAGATCGTCTATCCTAATTTCTCCCAGTGCATACGCACACACATGTGTGATGGCGATACTTTTCCTGGCTGGCTGGCATGATTTGGTCAAAGCGCGATATTAAGGCAATAGGTCAATTGTTATAAATTGACATCAATGTAAAAAGCGTTCCCCGAGCAGCCAGAATCGAAGGCATTGCCACCAGAGGCACGCGCTCCCCACTGGATGCTCGATTGTGGATTCTGGATTCTGGGGGAGATCGGCGATTGGGGAGATGGTGCATAACACTGATTCGATCAAGTCGGCTAATTAAGTCATGCCGCCTTTCATACAAGCACTCAAATTGCATTCGGAGAATGATAAATCGAATAGCTTAATCGTGGGGTAGCCGGGCATTTGCCATGATTTCAGAAAACCGATTGAGAGAAGAAATGGATATTCCCAGAACCTAAAGATCGCAATCTGTTGAATTGTACTTGTGCTTCAAAAAATTTCAATGAATTGCCATTTTACTAAAACGTGTTTAGCATGTTCGTCTAATCGCAGCTTCATCCCACACAGCTACGAGTAAATTTCGAATAGACTCCCAAAAACCATAAAGATAAGCGCTCTTTAAGAATAAACATTAATGAGTCTAGTACTATGGACTACAACAAAGAGATATTTCATTTCGGCTAAGACAAAGATACAACTGAATGAAGCTATTGATAAATGAAACAAACGCTGGTCCTTGTCACTGAATACAGTTTTTAAAAACATTTGTTTTCGTGTTCGAATTTTCGGCTGTCTTTTCTTTTGGCACAAAGAATCCTGAGTCATATATTGTTTTGAATCGAGACTGTCGCTGTAAAACAACGGAGTCAAATATCAATGAACCCGCGACAGGCGCTTATGAAATAGGCTCGAATGTTATTTCTATATTCGCAAGTGCAGATTCGGTAGATTGGTGGATCGAAGGCATTTATTTATACTCGTTATTTATAATTGCCAATATATAAAACACAATGCGACAGTGAATTGAAATTCATTGAGAGTCAGAGTGGGAAAACGTGCAGGCGCCGTTGAAAAGACGCTTTCAATAAACTGCAATTATCAATTTTGTGTACGCATTAAGTATACGCCGTATACCGCCAGCCATACGGCAAGTACATAGCAAAATCCTATATAAATACTTCGTAGGTGATAAGAGCCTGCTGTTATCAATTGAACAAGAAGAATACGAGAATCGAGCTGAATCGACATCCCATAGTTGGTAGTGTGTCCGCTGGCCGTTGGGAATTAGCGGCAATTCAATGCCTTCTACTTCCTAATTGAAAAATTAAATCATCTGGGCGGCAATTAAGATGCGACTGCGACTGCACCATCTCCAAGTCATCCTCCTCTCCTTCGCAATTTGCCCAATTGAGCCATAGATAATGAGGCGTCGGCGGCACTGGGCTCTTTGACGTAAACAAACGACATTGTTATTGTTTTAGTATCTATATGGCTGTAAACAAGATCTGGGCACCCAAACCGATCTGAGGAGCACATTTTTTCGTGCATTTACATAAGCATATTGAAATTTGTGTACATTTTGCATTATTATTTTTCGCTCGGCTTTTATTGGGTTTAAGGAACCTAAATTGATTGCCGGCCGAGCGGAAAATTCTGCCTTTCTGCGGAACTTGGCTGTTGGCCTTGAACTCCCCCCGGTAAAGAAATTTTGATTGGATCTATGGCAGGAACGTTTACCCAATAGATGACACACCTCGTTCCCCAGAATTTGGCACACGCTACCAAGAAATATATTCTACCTACAACACCATATTTCAAAACTATCATAGGCTATATCTAAGATGTATGCTATATGAAAAGCAGTGCAACTCTGTTCCCTTGCTAACAATGTGTGAAGTGTGAATAATGAACAAAAACGATCCTAGTTGGGAAATGTAGAATAAATTGAGACTTGTTAGTCTGTTTCTAGAAAATAGTAATAGAACGCAAACACTGGAAAACCCCTTATAAAGCTATTTGGCTCCTGGTCTCGAAAAATGTAACCGAATCGATGACTCAACTCACTTGAGACTGTTCCACTGCATCCGCAGCTTGTACAAGTTGAAGTTCATATCCGTAAACGATCGCATTTCCAGGTCGTCGAGTTGTGAGTGCGTGATCTTCAGGTCGATGTTGGTGTCGGCATTGAGCTTATTGGCCAGGCTGTCTACCACGGCGTTAAAGGACTCCAGTTTCTCGCAGGAGAGCTCCACATGGTTCCAGGCCTTGCCCGTTTCGCAGGTGCAGGGCGAGATCTCCGGACGCACGGAGCACTGGAGCGAGGCCAGGTGAAAGACGGTGTACACGAGGGAAGTCATTTTGGTGGAGTGATCTCAGCCACTCGTCGTATGCGATTTCACAATGCTTTGGCCAGAGCAACAAAATATATATGTACACTTCTTGCTTATCTACGATATCTCAGTTCACAGTTCACAAATCACGGTTTTCCGGCTCGAGACCAGGACACGTTGCATTCGCCCGGGCGGCGGATTATCAACTGTTCGAACAGGCAGCTCGGAAAATGCGATAGACTCGGGAAATTACCCACTAGGCGCACATATGCGTGCGTGCGGGGGTTTCCATGGCAGCTCGGTTTTCCAGCAGGATTTCGTTGATTCTCTGAACCGCTGGCATCGGATTTCAAAGCCGCACTGTCACCACTTTTGAAGATCTTTCGAAAAACACACGCGCACAACACTTCAAGATCGGATCGGTTTGGTTCGGTTCGGTCGATCGATCGATCGATGGCTGGATGGATGGATCGATCGTATCGAATCGAATCGAATCTTTACGACTGGGATATGGAGAGATGGAGCTGGAGCTGGAGCTGCTACTCCTCCGCCTCCTCCTATCTGCTAGACCTCCTGACCCGCTCGTATATAGATCGCCGATGCTCGGGATTAATCTTCTAAAATATTGTATTTGTCAAACCGAACACCGCGAGTATATCTCTATTGTATTTTATTTATTGATGGGCTGCTGATCACGTCTAGATTGCAGGGCGGTCTCTTTGCGACTGGGAGTGGAAATGCTAACGTTGAGGATTCGTATGTGCTGCTTGCTAGCTGCTGCTAGCTGCGGCTGCTGTTGCTGCTGCTGCTGCTGCTGCCAGCGGCGCTGTTGCGATATGTACTGCTGCTGCTGCTGCTGCTGCTGGTTTTACTCTCTCTCCGATCTCTTGGCGCTCTGGCGCGATGTACGAGCGGCTTTTTGGCCAATTGGGGACTTGAGATGCGGCTATAATTGTCCACGACACTCAATTACATGTTATGTCGGCGCCAGGCATCAATCTCCATCTATATCTGCAACTCAATCCCGATCGCGATGTGCGTGTTTGTGCCCCCTTCGAGTGGCGATGCTGCTACTTGCTACTTGCTGCCCGCTTCGGAACGTAGTTCTATGTATGGGGCATCATTATACTATCGTGGACACATGTTGGTACTTACATATGTGCAACTGCCTGCTGCTCTGGCTCTACGCACTCCCAATAAATTGTCCTTTACATAGACATCTGGCACTCGCCGCGCTCGCACTCTCGTCAATGTTTTTAATTATGACTTTTGGGATCTTATCGTACCGTATCGGATTGGATTGGATCGCATCGGATCGGATAGTTGGCAGTGTTTGAATGCAACCGGCTTGTTTAAGGATCTCCGCAGCCCAATTGAGATTGGGCCAAGTGAAAATTTTCCACTGGCGCCAGAGCGCTACAGAAACTCTGGCGGGGAAGGGATCAGGCTGCTGGGATCAGGCAGCTGGGAGCAGGCAGCTGGGAGCAGGGAGCAGGGAGCAGGAGCCATGCATCAAAGTCCGCTGCCTTAATTTATCTGCAAGTTCTGGGCCCGCATGCATAATTAAACACTGGGCGCCTTAAATGCGCTCGCCACAAATTCCGCAAATTCCACGGATTGCGCGTGCCAACGATGTCTCCTCCTCGTCGTCGTCGCAGTTTCGTCTGCAGTTCTGGCTGCAATTAATCATCGGGATCATCGGGGGACGGCCACTGGCTGAGTGACTTCTGATGCCCAGCCAACACATCCATCTCCATTTTCCATGCAGACTGCCAGCTCCCGAGGAACCTTGGCACGATTATGTTATGTTTAGGGCCGTCTGAGAGATTAACTTAATTACATACAGCCGGGCTCACTCATTTATTAATTGATCCATTCAATAATGTTTCAGTAAAAAATGTATTTCCATTTTTCAGCCAAATTGTAAACTTAAAATGGGCAACATCATTTTTGAATTAAATAATTTTTCTTATCAAATTACCAACTAGGTTCTGTTATAAAAAAATGTGGAAAACTCTCGGAACTGTTTTTGCTAAAAAAATGTTGTTATATGTTTTTTAACGTGCTCCTTTGCTAAAAATTGGCACGATTCTAAGGATTGGATAGGCAAATCCACATTAATTCTGGTCAAAGGAGTTTCAATTCATATAAAAGCGGATTCATTTCGTGAGGAACATACAAAACTGCAGACTTAAGGTAAATTTTAGTTTGCAACAATGTGGCATGTTAAATTCTTTGCCGACCTTGACAGATGCGAATTGCGGTGTTACAGCTCCGAACCGCACTGTTCCCATAACTGTAGGTACAAAAATATACTTCGATTACGTGCCAATCTAATTTTAGCGATCAATCAGTTCGAGTAAATATTTAAAGAAAAGCGGCAAATATTTATAATTATCATTTATTCATATGTTTTCTTTTCTTTACGGCTTCTTGGTATTATTTTTTTGCACATAAATATTCTCAACATTTTTATGTGACACATTTTCGTGTTTCGATTGCAGGCGACAACAATAACAAGAGTAGCGTAGGCTTCGGAATTCGATGACGATCAAATTGGATGGTGCGGCATGCTGGTCCGATGGGATGGTGTGGATACGCCTCCGGGAATGCTGCTCCTTAAGGCTTATCCACTTGAATGGATCCGCACATTCCGGATTGGTCGTCATCGGCCGTCCAGCAATCATGTGCCATCGGCTCACGTCAATGGCGATATTTGGCGCCGGCCAAAATACTTGGCTGGAATTCGGAATTTGGCTGTCGTCACGGGTCTGTTCCTTCTGCTTTTGCGGCACGTCATGCGACGCGGGGACGCCACCGCCATTTGGGACAATTGAAAGCATTCCGCTCGGTGTGTGGTCCCATATCCAAGTCCATTTAATCCGATTCCAATCGCCATTGTTTCGCTAAATATGTGTGTTTATTTTGCTCATTCATGCAGCGCAAAAATCTTTTTTGATTGGGCTCTGTGTCTTGAACCATTGTGTTTCTGTGTGTGTTTGTGTGTTTGTGGATAAATATCAATTGGATATTATTATACTAAATAGTTTGAAGCATTTGCTAGGGGTCCACTCCATGTGTTGGTGTTGTCGCAAACTTCGTCGTCTTCTCGATTTAAACAGAGCTTAGTTATTAAGTAAATTAAATACAGTTCATTAAAGTAAAATGTACAACAAGCACGAGGTGGCCGGGTTTTCATCGCTGCAGAGGCGTCCCTACTTTTGCTCGGCGAACTTGGCGATCTGCGGATACTTGCTGGACTTAAAATCCACATCCTGCTTGATACGCTCCTTTAAACTATTCCGCACCGCATCCGTGTAGGCAGCCTGAACGGCGGAGTCGTGGGCAATGGAACCGATCACGGTATCCATGCTGATCGACGAACTTGAGGCGCTGCCACTGGTTCCGCCCAAGCCAACGCTTTGGATAGCCCTCTGCACTCCGTTAGCTATGAGGCACTCCACGCTGGCCGTCGGCTTTTCCGTCTGAATTATCTTGCGCCGCTTGGCGGACATGCCCGAGATGTAGGCATCCGAGAACGGCGGCTGGGGACGACTGCTCTGCTGCAAGGCACATAGTTTTCTATTAGTGTGGCTCACAAAGTTTGACGGAATAACCTACCTCTGTCTGGGTCTGTAGGTCGCGCGTTATTACGGGCAACCAATCATTGGGGAAACTCATGTGCCAGGGCTCCGAGCCCACGATCACTGCGGGTAGCTCGGCTGCCGGTGTCGGTAGCTCGGTGCTGCTGCTGGCGGCCACCTCAGCCATCTCAACATCCGTATCCAGAGATTGCTCTTGCGGCTGCTGCTGTTGTGGGTTGAAAGCAAAAGGCGGCGGCGCCACGAATGGCTATTAGTGCATAAGTTTCTGGGCAGCAAGAACGTTGGGAAACCTACTTCGTCGGCAGCTGTTGGAGGAGCTGCTTGAACACTGCGCAGGACCAGGAACTGTTGGGCATCTACTGTGTCGGTCTGGGCGGGAATCGTGGGGTCTATGTAGATGCACAAGAACTGCAGGGCTTCGTTGCGGAAGTCTGCAATAGAAACATTGAGTTAGCAAGGAGAACTAAAAGCACACGTGGCGTCAACTTACTGGATCGCATCGGTGCGCACAGCAGGCGCATTAGCTGGCGCCAGTAGAGCTCCGCATTCGCGCTTCCAAGACACAGGAACAGAACGCTGTAGAGCCGCTTGCGGAACTGGTCACAGATCTGTTTGAGGCTTTGCTCGAACTGAGCGCTATCTGCGCCGCCCGGAGCTCCATTGCAAAGCTCGATGATCAAACGGAGGCTGACACGCAGGATGTTGCACACAGAGTCGCGGGAGTTGTACTCCGGACGCTCGTACTGCGGCAGGTAGACCAGGCTCTCCCCGAACCACTCCAGTGCGCGACCAATGGCCTCTGGGATAGTCTGCTCGTTGATGGGCACTCCGACGAACAGGCTGTCGTTGAGGAAGCTGCGCAGCTGCGAGCGCAGGTTGTTCGAATCTCCGCCGGGAGTGGGTGTCGATGTCGGCAAAACAGTTTGTGGTGGACCGGCTGGAGCGGTAGCAGCAGCGATTGGGGCAGCTTCATCCGATGTCGAGGCGGCGGTACCTCCCTCGGCGGCGACTGCGCTGCCTACCGAAGCTGTTGGCGCATTATTTCTCATGTTATTAAGCAAAAAATTAGCGATTAGGGTGGGTAATTGTCTTGAGAGGCGACTGGTGGCGGCCTGAAGTCGCCCCCGCCGGCCAGAGGGCAAACCGCTGTTGGTGCTGCCACCGCCAACGTGGGCCGTTCGAGCCGCCAGCAGATCGCGATTGATGAGCGATCCTCCCGTGGGCCACACTCTTCGGGCTACGGCTCCGGCTCCGGCTCCGACTCTGGCCCCATTGGTGCTGCCAGCACCAACGTGGGCAGCTTGAACATGAGTGGTTTGGGTCTGCGCCTGCGCCCAGGCTGCCGGTCGCAGGCTGCTTAGTTGCTCGCTGGCTGGTCGCTGGCGACGGGACGACCACATTGGGCGGAAATTGTTACTGCCGCGCTGGATGCGACCAGTGGTGACTAAATGATGACATGGATAAAATGGAAATTAATGTCAGAGATGGAGCCCAGTCGACAGTCGAGAAAGCAAATGCATAGTTGTTTCTGTTAGGTTTCCGTTAAGCTCAGTAGAAATTTCAGAATCGTGTTGCATTCAACGAAATTCGTAAAAATTTATATTAAGTTTATGAAACCAATCACTTCACTTGACTAATTGAATTCAAGGCTTCTGGGAAAGTTTGATCACGCCCCGATTCGACTGGTTTGTTCAGAGACTGGGCTTTCCATCTCTGCTTGGTGAGTGTGCGCATGAAATGGATTGGTGTGCGAAGCGGGTCGTGGCGGGGGTCGGGGTCGTGGACATAAAGTAGTGTTTGGTAGCTCTCCCCGGCGGGGGAACAGTACTCACCAGGACGAGTTACTGCAGCGGCTGTGGGCGAAAGAACTGAGGCTCCGCCTGCTGGTGCTGTGGAGGTGCTGCGATTGGTATTGTTGTTTTGGAGCAGCTGCTCGGGTTCCCTAATGTGGTGACTATTGCAAGGCAGGAAGCGGTCGAATGCCGTGTGTGTCGGAGCAATGCGTCCGCCCCAGTTGTTGTTGCCGCCAATCTGAATCTGTGGCCTGGATGTCGAGCGCGTTTGGGTGGCCGTGGTGGGCAAGGTATTGGCCCTCTGATCTCCACTGCGTGTTCCGCTTGATGTTGAAGCTGCATTGGGAGACTCTGCACTGCCGGCTGCAGGAGCGCTTTCAGGCGAGGCTTCGGACGCAGCAGGTTCTGCTGTTTCGTTTGATCCAGGTGCCGGAGGTGCCTGTCGCACTGTCGTCATCACGTGCACGGGCAAGTTAATCGACATGACATTGGGGGCATTGAATTCCACATGAACATCGTTCGCTCGTTGACCATTGACCATTGCCTGAATGATTCTCGCCATTTCCATTTGGGTATCTGTAAGGCAGCAGGAGTTAGTAACAGCGCTCTTCACCATTAGGAAATAGCAGGGGTTAATCTGTTTAGGGCCTGGTCAGTAAAAGAAACGAACTAGCAAGGCGAAAGTGGAACCAAACGAAGGATGCAGTGAGTGAGCAGTTGAGCTTAGGGTTAGTCTGCCGTGACTGATGCGTTGGATTCAACCGAACAATCAAAACATACTCGGCGGTGGCAGGGTCACTGGCACATAGACACGCAGCCTAGGCGCTGGTCGATTTTCTCGTTCGGGAGTTTCGCTTTGATCTTGATCTAGAATATTGTCAACAAATAATACGGGTATATATGGATTCAGTACTCAAGCAGAGCCACTAATTCCTTGCCACAGGCCATGAGATCGAAACTAATCTGATTTTGCACATCTCCATCAGCATACAAGCATATTTGGAAAGTCTCTTACCCATATCGAGACGCTGTTGCTGTTGAGCTGGTGCAGCGGCACCTGAAGCATTCGGCGCCACCATAGGCTCGTCGACGGGATCTTCTACTTGATCGCTGGACAAATCGCGAGCAGCGGCGGCAGCCGCACTCGCAGCTCCAGCAGCCATTTCCGCAGCGGCTCCAGCAGCGCGACTGGCGATCTCCGCCATGGCCGCTGCACTGCGGCTGGCATCGGTGGCCGCCTGTAAATTGGCAGCCTGCGGCGGTGCCACAGCAGTTGGAGTGCTTGCGGTGGTGGGTGTTTGCGTGCCCGCTGCAGCGGCAGAGCCAGGTGCTCTGTTACGGAGTTCCGAAACCGGTGCCCAAATATTGGGCGTAAAAATGTTATTGGAGCGTATGTAGCCGCTCTGCTCGACGAGAATGGGTCGGCAGGTGAGCACACGTGGTCCTGGCTGCGACAGGTCCAGCATTAAATCGGATATAGCGTGCTGAGCATGCGAGAGGTAGTGGAAGGCCTCCGAGACGCGATCGAAGATTCGCTGTGCGTTCTCGCGTCCAGCGGTGTCCTAAAAGGGAAAGTAAATGTTTCAAAATGTCTAATAGGCAAATAGGAGCACGGCTTATGGACTTACACTCTCCTCGAATGTGGGATCATTCTGGAGAATCTCGTAGTACCGCTCCACAAAAGGCGCCAAGCGAGCCTGCACGCCACGATAGTGCTGAATAACTTGGGCCAACACCTGGGGACGAGTGCGGCGCCTGGGTCCCGCGTTGTTGCCTCCTTCGGCAGCGGCGTCATTTGCTGATCCAGCCGAGGATGTGGGAGTCTCTGCTGCAGTGGCCGGCTGGCCACCAACTGCTCCTTCTGCCTCCGCCTCTGGTGTTGGCGTGACCGAACGATCCGACGCTCCATCGGCAGCCTCGTCGTCCGTTTCGATAACATCCTCGATGATCACAGTGGCCGCTGTGGCTTCACCACTAGCGTTGCTTGCAGCTCCGCTGGCTGCTCCTTCGCTGGTTCCAGCTTCCCCAGTTCCCTGCTGGCTGGTCTCGCCATTCTCGTTGGTATAAACCGTGGGCAGCTGCACCACCGTATAGTTGCGGGCACCAGTACGCGAAAGAGCAGCGGTCACAGCATCTTGGACCATATCGATGATGTTATTGTTGCGCGGCAGATCCGTCGAGGAGACACCCACTTCCACGACAGTGGACTCCATGGACCAGCGACCACGCTGCAGGATGTCCAGTGATTGATTGTTCAGACCAACGGCTGGATTTTCCAGATAGGCTGCTATATTGTCCGCGCAATCGATCATGTGCAGGGCCACAGTGATACGGTTAATGCAGAAGGACGAGGAGTTGGGATAACGATTCGGTGGAGGACGAGTCTGCTAAGATACAAGATTTCAATAAGTGTGTTAAAAGAGCTTTCAGCCTAATGGCTTACCCCTGCCACTGGACCATTGTTCACAGGTATGGCCATGGTGCCCACCAGCATGCCGTCGAGGGCGCGGAAATACGGAGAAGTACGCATTCCAGCCGGCGGCGGAATCGCCACATTGCGGAAGGTGCGCATGGGTTCATCATTGTTCCGGGCATTGGCTCCACGCTGCGAAAACGGCGGTCGTTCGGCCACATGGAGCACCTTGCCATCCACATCTGCATGGGCATATGCATAGTTGTATTAGATACACATATTAGTTGTATATGTGGGTGCTCCCGGGGGCATGACTCACCGTACTCCTTAACCTGCTTATCATCGGCCAGAACGCGACCCTGGTAGATGATACGCTGGTTCTCCGCCGCAATGTTCGTCTTCTCTGCTATTTGGTCCTTGAACTGGCGGATGGTGAGCTGGAATTGGGCGGGGTGCATGGATATATATGGATTTAGAAGCCTCGAGACCTGGACACACAACCTCAAACATTACCTCATTGTCGATGCTGAATTCGTGGGTGCGCGCATCTAAGGTCTTCACCTTAAGGTTTATGAGCATTTTCCGGCCGGACTGCGTTGCAAATCAATGGAAAATCTCGTTTTTCTTTCGGTTTTCCCCGTGCCGTGCAAAAAACAGTCGAAATGGGCTTTGTTGGCGGAGGGGGGCGGGTGGGGAGCGGGGTATCTTGTCGGTGTCGCTGTCACCTGCTCTCTCTCTCGCTCGCACTCGCTGTCGCTGGCCTTTGGCTTTTCCGGACACGTTTTCGCACTGCACCACTAGCGGTAAATACGTATATATGTTCACTGATCTCCGCCTGCTTTCGGATCGGGCCAATATATGCTGGACTTCTATGCTAAAGCGCCGTACGACTTTGCAATTCAACAACAGCAGTAGAAGAGAATAATTACTGGAATTTGACAGTGTGGCAGTGTTGCCAACTCTCGCCGTGAAAGACTAGCCAAGTGCCATGTTGCAAATAGCTAGACGCTAGTCTAGCTAGAATTGCGGAGTAAGTTGGGTTAAAAAGCTAAAATAAAGCGTTCTGTGGAATGTTTTATGCTTGCTGTGGAGCTACTATCTGAAATAAACGATTAAAAAAACTAAGCGTAGGCAGCTAAATAGCAACCTATCTGACGTTTAAAATGTAGCAGCTGCTTTTGGCTACAAAATAGTTGAGTTGACAGCCCAGTAAATGGTGCAGAAAATGTGCTAAATATCGCGCAGTATTAGTTCGAGAACAAATCCAACGCCGTTAGCTTGGACTCAAACCCGAGTACTTGAACTTTTCCTCTAGTCTGGCAACTCTGCACAACCCTTTGGCGGTTTTTTTGAATTTATACGAAATATATTTATCTATATTGTTTACATTGTTTTTGGGCATTATTTGCAGCGCTAAGCTAACCGAAAGGTAGAATATCTCCTGAGAATCGCCCAGACTCTTGCCCACAGTGAAAAGCAGGTGGGGCACTGCGAGATGAGCGCTATAAAAACGTTTAAAGAACTGCACATGTGAAATACAATTCACCCGCCAGCAACCTTTTCACCCTCAAACCCAACCGCCCCTAATCACCCCACTGCCTTTGACTGCATCCTGTGGGAATTTTTGGGCACTGCACATGAAAAGCGGCGTTTGAATAATAAAGAAAAGAAAACACGAAAAACTGGGGAAAGTCAGCCAAGACGCAAAGGTGTAGGGCAACTTTTCGCTTTGAATATTTAAGTGGCGCTGTGGCATCGGTAGTGGAAGTAAAATAAGCAGAAGGCTGCGGAGAACAGCCAACCGCAGCTAACACAATTTTTCGCATACCCCTTGCCGGAATTGTGCGGAAATTTGATTTAATGTCTGCGATTGTGAGCCTTTCCACGGTCTCAAAGTGATTGCGACGAGCCCTCATTTTCCGCTCTAAAAGATGCCACGGAAATGGGCAGTGGCAGATTGCTGAGCGCACCGTTCCCTTTGTGGATTTTTACTGTGTTTTTAACAAGCAATTGAATGATTAATTACATACTGTCATAAAAATGCAGCTAATCTGAGATCTTGTTATAAGCTCGGACTAAAAATAATACAGATAAAATTTGTTGCTAAAATTACAAACAGTTAATTGCATTAAAGCGCTCGGCCTACATTTCGCTCAAAATATGGATTGTGCTTGGCGTGAAAGTATAAATAATAATTATTACCGCTTTTCACCGACTTTGCGCGGGCCAAGTGCAAGTTTTACAATTTACAAATTGCTTTTAAATGGGCTGTGAAAAGTTTTAATGAGTTTTCCGCGCGGCCGTCCTTCATCTAAGCGCCCAGTACATTCCGCCCACCGCCTTGTCAACGATTTCTGTTTATGCATTTTCATTTTCATTATCATTCCCTTTTTTTCGACCAGCACTGCCCTCTCGTTTTCCGCTTTCCATTTGCTATTAAGCTAACGCCTTCCGCTACTTTTTATTCCTTTTTTGCACCAAAAGTTTTTCCTGTCACAGTGGGTGGGCGTGGCAGTTTTTTTTGTTATTTTTGTGGGTGGCGAAAGGTCGCCTAATGAAATTATATCAATCGGGCAGATCAGCCACCCTAAGTCGCTGCTCTTGGCAGCTGGCAAATGACATTTGCTTTTTCCAATTGTTCATATTTTCATTAAGCAACATTTGAATTTCCCCGAACGTAACCTGCAATCGTTTCAGTTCAGATTGAAGTTCGAGTTTGCCTCCGCACTGCATGACTACATTTCTAATTTCGCTCTGGTCAAGAACAGGGCCCCAGAGCAAGTCTCACGTCAAATTAAATCAAGCTGTAATATAAAGAAAATTGAAGCCAAGTCCCCTTTGTGCCATAAACTACGGCTGGCCAAGGAGCATTCGGTGGGGGAAATGGGGCTGGAATTGGTGTGCCAGCGGGTGGGTGTGGGGTTTCGTTTCCACAGCTGATTGGCAATATAACACCAAGGAAGCTCGGCATTCAAGGCGGAATTTAACCCGTGTGCCGCAAGTTCCGATTCAAAGGAGTTGTGTGGTTACGATTTTACTCCTCTCGCAATTATCTACCATTTTCATAAAAAGAGCAGATACTCACCAATATAAGTTGGTTTGCATTTATAAATATATGAATATAAATATAAATACTTATCTGTACACATAACTACACCACTTTCAACAAAGCAGGCTAATTGACCCACAGAACATGTGAACAACTAGGAGGAGGTGCAAAGAACTTTCGTTGCCCACTTGCAACTGGCAGTAAAAATATTTTCGAGCTGCCAAATGGCAACTGCACCGGCCTCATAAATACAACCGCCAACTAACCGTGCCAATTTATAGTCCACACTTAATCTAAGCTGTCAATGTGGATGCAACAGCAGCGGTTAGCAACCAGCAACAAAACTTGGCCGCCGGCGGAGGGTTAAGTGGTGACTAGTGGCATCGTAATTGGCGGGGATTACGACAAAACGTAAAAGTGCAGAACGGCATGTGAATGCGGTAGTCGAACTCGCAATTGGCCAAAGTGAAGAAGTCGTAAAGTTTTTGTTGCATTCTGCCGTCTTCGCCTGCGAATCGGACGCTTAATTTATGTTTCAATTCCAATTAGCCAGCGAGGCGCGGGCTTTTATGCTACTTTTCCTGCTTTTCGCACTGAGAAAAATTGGCTATTATACGGTTCAGTGTTGAGCTTTCGCAGTGCTATAGCCCTCGAATTACCTACTTATACATAGGACTTTATATTCCATTCCTTAAAGCAGCAGACTTATCACAATTTGCACTTAATTTCCCTGAGATTGCAAAAATTCTTCGTATTATTTTATTTATTTGTTCATTCAAAAAAGGTCAAAGATGGCACCATTTCCCGCCGTGCCCTCTGGTAATTGACTTTCGGCCTGGCCCTGACGCGTCATTTGTAATTGTATATCAGCACGAGGAGCGAGGACGAAGGCGGCGTTTATTAGCCATGGCCAAATGCAGCTAATTGAAGTTCAAATTGCGTTGGCGCACGAGTTGGAATGGCACAGGAAACCGTTGAAATGTAAGCACTCACATGTGATTCCTGTCGGTTCAATAAAACGTTAAGTTCAGTCAGACGACAATGCAGACGTAAACGAAGACGAATCCACTTAGGGCCAAAAGCGAAAATCCAAAGGAGGAAAAAAAGCAAGTAATGCGAAAGCCAATTCAACACTCAAACACAATCAGCAAAGAAAAGCAGAGTCGAAAGTTGGGCAGCGAAATAAAATCAAGCATAAATGCAATAATACAATTTATGTGCCGAATTTCATGAGGACCATAATGGACATACAACCCCGCCCCCTCATAATCCGCACAATAAAGATATGTGTTTCGAGTGGGACCAACAAAGGTGACTTTCTCAAGTTGGTCAGCAATCGCTGTTAACGTAATCGCATTTGGCGCCGAGATGTTGACGCTATTTGCCAGTGTGTGTCATTTTCATTGCGCAAAAGTTCTGCTCCGCTGGTGTGGGCAACAATGTCCCCACCGGATATCCATCCACTCCATGCCAACCCATGCCATCCCATCCATCCTCCCATTCTCTGTCTCGTTCGGCCGGCCAGCTAACAACATTTGCTTGACGTTTGCCAATTGCATTATGGCTCAATTGTGAGCTGAACGATTTCACGGACCAGCCAAGAATCAAAGAGAGGCAGCGCATCATTGAGGCAACTCCAAGTTGAGTGGAGTGTCGGTCCACTGAGGGAGAAACAGAAACGGAAACGGAAACAGAACTAAGTAAAAAGCGGAAGTAGCATGCAGTTCGATCGAAATTCAAGGGAACATTTAACAAGTGATTCATTTTAATATGGATGTTGAATTGCAGATTCCAGCGCTAAATTCATATTGCTTAATAAAGTTTAAGGGGTACATATGCGGATGCTATGTCAGTAAAATGTACAAAATATTATTTGAATAAGTTCAAACAACTGCAAACCATTGATGGTTCAAGTGGCGCAACTATTGCCACTTCGGATGTTTGAAGATACAAGTATCTACATAAACACATCTCCATGTGGTTCATCTCTCAGATTGAGTTGCTTGAAGAGCGGTTGGAACTGAAATGCATTAACAATTTGGCAGCGGCGTTAATGCATCTCCGATGGGCAATAAATCGCGCTGGCCGCAATATGTTTGGGCCACTTGATGGCCCTTCAGCGGACAACTGTAAGTTGCCATCGCCGCGGAATGTGGAGCAAGTGCGGCAAGTGCACAGACCTTACCTTACTCCGTTCATTATGCAATGCCTATGGGCCAAAGTCTTGGGCTACATAAACTGGGTCGACACGCCCTGCTCCAGCGCCTTCTCCGGCCGATAGGCTCGCCCCCACCGACTTTTGTGGCTGTCACTCGGAGCTGGGCAATGCTAAATTGATTTGCCACGATCGAGGGATAGAGCAGCGGATTTCTGAAAGTCACGCAAAGCCAGCCGGCAAAGCCGAAACGAGTGGAAACGCGCAGTGCGCCCGATTATGAGTAATTGGCATTGCGCTGGCCAGCTCTTCTATATATGGCCCAACCTCGTAGTTATCCAGCACAGTTGTTCCCATTGCTTCAATCGACATGGCTTACTTCCAGTTCCTCAGCGCTGCCTCCAGCCTGCTTCTGCTCCTGGCTCCCGCCTGGGCGGGATTGATTGCCCAGCCGACCATCAGCTATGCTGGCGACGAGCACGCGGTGGCCCACACCCAGCAGAATGTCGTTAGGAGCTTCGATGGCACCGTCTCCCACTACGCCAAGTCGCTGGCCACGCCCTACTCGCAGGTCCACAAGCAGGACACCCGGATCAGCAACAATGTCTATCAGCCGGCGCTGGCCAAGACCTTCAGCTATGCCCCAGCTCCAGCTCCAGTTTCGGTCTCGGTTCCGGCTCCGGTTTACGCCCCACAGGCTCATGACCAGGAACCAGCCCAACTGTTTACCCAGGCCTCGCCCGTTTACCATCAGCCCGCCCAAGTCCAGGCTCCATCGGTTTACCATCAGGCTGCCCAAGTCCAGACTCCATCAGTTTACCATCAGACCGCCCATGTCCAGACTCCATCGGTGTACCATCAGCCCGCTCAGGTGCAGACTCCATCGGTTTACCACCAGCCCGCTCAGGTGCAGAGCTACCACCAACCTGGTCATGTGGAGGCACCCTCTGCGTACCACCAGAACGCCCACTACAGCCACCAGCCGGCTGTCATCCACTATTCGCCGGCGGAGACCGTCTCCCACATGAGCTTCGATGGCTTCGGCACCCACTACGGATTTTAGGTGCTCATTACTTAAGTTAAGGTTATGCAATATAGCTCGTTAAATATATGCTTGTTAAGTAAATTGATGAACTAAAGATGCAAGTGAATTTTAATACGAATTTCAATCTGACCATTGTTTTCTTCAAAAATCCGTTTGTTTGGCAGTTATACTGAAACACAGCAACTTTTTGATTGACCCCTTTAACAGTGTGTTATGTAATGTTCCTCCATAACCATATTTGCATCATGTGCGCACCATTTGCCAAGGTTTTCTTGTCCGGCTCCCTTTTTATCACTCACGTGCGAGGGCAGCGTAAACAAATCATAAAAGTACACACAAAGTGCAACCAACAAATAGCCCCAAGTAGGACATTAGCTCTGGTCCTTACACCAGTCCGTGATCCTTGGATTCTGGGCAGAAGGATGCGGAGGGGTTGCGTGATTTGTGCAGCGCAAACTTAAAAATCGGACATGAACGCTACGTGCCTGGAATGGCAACTGAAGGAGCCAGGAGCATTTGAAAGGGACGAAGGACTCCAAGTGGCGTGGCTTATGAACTAATAAGATTCTGCCCATGCTCGTAAATTATGCACATTGACAACTGTAATCGGGAAATTGAAATCAGATTTTTGCAGGCTCATTAGCTTTGCAAAAGAAAAGGAAAAACTCCATACGCAGCCGGAAGCAAATCGAAAACTTATGAATGCCCGAAGTCAATAACCAATTTGTGTGCACTTGCCTTTCGCAGTTTCGTTAAATGATAGCTTCATTAGCTGGCCATCAAAGTAATGGCCAAAATGATTACCAGAACAGGGCCAGCCACTGCTGGGCGAACTTCCGAATTGAAAAACTGAGCAAAAGGCACAAATTTGCAAAAATGAAGCCATAAACTGCGCTTAGTCCAGCATCCTGCAGGACCTCCTGCCATTCCCCTCTGGAGCCACCACTTCTGTCCGCCACTTGAGTGCTAAAAGGCGCAATGATAAAATATTTGCCCGAGCAGGGCTAGTAAATTTGTTGGCTGAAAAGTTGAAACAGCTAACAAAAAACGCAAAGGAGGCGAAGAAAGGCCGAGCCGTTAGTTGTTGTTTTTATTTAGCTGTTGCGGCTAAAGTTTTCCCACTTTCCACGGCCAGGACATCGGCCAAAGGGAAGTTTGCGAAAAATAAAAATGCAAAATGCCCAGCAAGACGTATTTATCAACATAATTACATTTTTTAATGGCCCTTTAAACCGCAAAATGGCAAAGCCGCAAAGCAAGATAGAGTCATGGCGAAAACTTGCTCAACATCAGCATTCTTTGCTGGCTTCCAAGAAATATTAAGTCAATTTGTGTGGCCTCAGCCAAAGGCTGTGATGTATTTGTTAATAACATAATTTTACCAGAACTTTAAGTGAAGTAATTCAGGTGAAATTTAACTCACATGAGGAGCAGACTTACGATTAATTGGATTTCAAAGGATAATTGTCCGCGTTTTGGAAAGAAATTGTGACTGTAACCGTTGGCCTGTGACTGGCCTATACAATTTTCATTTAAAATACTTTATTCAGCAAATGATATCGTGACGATCTTCCGCATTTTTGCATCGGAATCTACCAAGTATAATAAATAGCTTTTAATTAATAAAAATTTAATAACAGCGCACCCGATCAATAAAATTGATAACCCATAAAGCGAATATTTGCATGTAAAAATGTATACTCGCTTGTTTATTAGTTATAGTTTTCAGCACGATTTTCCAGTGGGTCGTTCATAAATCAGAGTATTTTTTATTTAGAAAAGAGAAAAATGCTTAAGAGAACGTAGTTCTTGCGCTTTCTCTTTATGTTATACTATATGTGATTTCATGTTTATTTAAAGAATTGCAGCAGAATGAATGCATAAACCTGTTTGATCATCCGTCTGTTTTGCGTGCTACTCGAAAATTTGATCAAACCAAAAATCAAACAGCTTAAACAAAGTTTGTGAGTCATATAAATATTTATAGAAATATATCCAAAGTATGGGAGAATACATTGCTTGTTTATGACCTATCGAAATTGCTAATATTTAAAAATTTCAATACTTTGATAAATAATATCCAATGTGGAAAACTGATGTAAATTATTTAAGCAACAAATATTTGATATATTATATTTCGTATGTTCATGAATAGTTACAAATGAGGGTATTGAACGTTCGTAGTCACGATAAAAACCGATTTTATGCCATAGCTCTCGAAAAGCAATGTATATATTACCGAACACTGAACGCTCACACTTAGTTCCCGGCACATTGGCTCTCCGGCAGCATGTGGAGAATTCTGTGCGGGATCGGCGTTCTGGTGGCGATTGTGCATCCGCTGGCGGAGTCAAGGGCAGTCCGCCGGAGAGGAGGGGCTGAGCTCCAGCTGGACAACTACCTCAGCTACGATGGAATTATGCAGTACCTGGATCAGCTGGCACTGGCCCACAGTAGTCGGATGACCCTAAAGGATGTGGGCCGCACCTACGAGAACCGAGCCCTGAAAATGGCGATGATTACCAATGGAGATGGACGTTCGGGCAAGAGGGTGATATTCTTGGATGCTGCGCTCCATTCGCGCGAGTGGATGACACCCGCCGCCGCACTGCTCACCATCCACAAGCTGGTTGTGGAGTTTGAGGAGAACTCCGATCTCTTGGCGGACTACGATTGGCACATAATGCCGCTGGCGAATCCGGATGGCTACGTGTATTCGCGGAATACAGAACGATATTGGAGAAACACGAGGACACCGAATGGAGGCAACTGTTTTGGCACCAATCTCAACAGGAACTTTGCTGTCAACTGGAAGGAGGGTTTCCCGCAGCTACGGGATCCCTGCGATGAGAACTACGCCGGCAGCTCACCATTCTCAGAGGTGGAGGCGCGTACAGTGCGCGACATAATGCACGGCCTGGTGGAAAGCAAACGCGCTGTAATGTATCTCTCACTGCACACGGCAAACCGATCGGTCTTCTATCCTTGGGTCTACAACACGTATGTTGGAAGCGAATGCTTTATAAATATATATATTTTATATATTATATTAGATATTTTGTGTAGCGCACCAGTGCCGAACCAAGAGGAGCACGATGAAATCGGAAAATTTGTTGCTGATAGAATTTTTCAAAGTACGGGCACGATTATAAAGACGTGGCAATATGCTCTATATGACGGCACCTTTGGTGGCACCAGCATGGACTATGCACTGCTCGCGGGATTCCCACTCTCCTTTGTGTTCGAGATGTCGGGAACGGGACGGGACAATGTGGAGTACAAGTTCTTTCCTCCGGCCAGGGATATTCGCCATCTGGCTGAAGAGTCCTGGACGGGCATTAAGGCGTTTGCCGCGAAGGCCATCGAGAAGTATCCTCCGTCCAGGGCGATTTCGCATAACCAAATGGTTGAGCTTCCCAAAAACGCAGCTCCAACGATTCGTGGCTTTAATTCAATGGTTGGAACAGTTTGCATCTTCTTCCTATATTTGACCAGCGTTTTAAACTGAAACACGAAATCTTTGTAAGCCAAACTGCCTTGCTTGAGAACATAACAAAAGTTATCTAAAGCTTTTTAGTTTGTTCCCTTAACTAGCTGTTACTAAGTACATTTGGTTTATAACGATAATATTAAATTAAAAACAATTACTTTTACTACACGAATCATCAGACATTTCGCGAAATTTCCCTTCTCCTCGCGCTCTTTAAAATATTTTTAATACCCAGCAGGGAAATACCCAGCACTCCTTGCCGCTCTGGCATTACGCATACGCCTCGTTGTCCGCTTGTTTGCACTTGCTATCAACGTGACTTGGCTGCTTCGCTGGCGCGGAAGAGGGCAGAGTTTTCGGGTGGGGAACCCGCATATCACTTGCATTGTCCGATACATTTCACATGCGCTGCAATTAACGCAACAAATTGCATTTTTAATATGCAAAATTAATGCGGAAAGTTTTTCTGTGCGCGCGGAGCAACAGAAATGAAACGAAGGCGAGATACAAGTATTTTATTTATAACAGTCATTGTGAAAATTGAAAATTCACATTCACTGTCTGCAATTAAAAAAACACTTTTCCATGCAAGGGCTGTACGCGCACTCGTTCTGCTGGATATTGTGGATATGGCGAGTATTTAAAATAATAAAATGCCATTACAAAGTCAAAGTTGCCTGGGCCAGGAAGTCGCTGTTAATTAGTTTTTTCGAGGCACCTCTTGAATCCAGCCAGCTGACGAATCGCCCAGCCATCTATCTGTCCATCTAGCCATTCATGCCCTGCACTTTCTGCGCGGGAGTTGGGTCAAATGTTTTAATTTCCGCACGAATGTCTCTAACGGAAATTACTTAAAAAATAAAAAGCACAAAAATACACTTCACCACCCAGGGCGCGATGTCAATGGCCTGGGGTGCTTCGCGTTATCTTGTCCATGGCCTGGGCATAATTACTAGAGTAGTTCCAAGTACTCAATACTCCATACTAGCACTCAGTTAGTGTGCGCAGATTATCTCAATTATCGCGCTCGAGCTTCGCCAACTGCACTTTGAGTTACATATGAGTCCTACTCCGATTAGATTTGCTCGTACTGTGGACATTTCGCTCTCGGATCGCCGGATCGTTCGGCTTGGTGGGCGATTCAGAGTGAAACATGCTGCTGCTTCTGCTGGTTGTGCTGCTCTGTGGCGCGGGCTGGATCATCCATCTTGGCCAGGCCGATCGGCGGCGGAAGGTGGCCAATTTGCCGGGACCCATGTGCCCGCCGCTCATTGGCGCCCTTCAACTCATGCTTCGTTTGAACCCAAAAAGTGAGTAGCTGCTAACGTATACCTTTTAAAAAGGGTGAGACATCAGTTACCTAAAGAAGAATTCTGCTTAGGAGAATATACTCTTGTAGTTAGCAGAAATTGATTTACAAATCTTGAACTTTGATTTGCATGCGCTTACAAATTTATAACTTTTTGTAATAAATATGTACATATGTACTTATTACTCATAACTGAAAAGCTGTTCGTGACTGCTGCTGTTTAAACCCACTGATAAGAAATTACCAGGTTCTTTTTTTTTTCACTATATTCACGCAACCGCCTAATGAATAATTTATATTTGATGTCAACCGGTTTCTTACAACCAGATCAACAATAAAATACATCAAATAAGAATAAGAGTAAAATTTCACTCAAGCTAGCGAATAAAAGTTATGCACTTGAATGCACGGCGGAAAACTTTGAATGGCTTTATATTATCAACAAATTTATTGCTACTTATACTAGATATGGTAAGCAATTTGAAAAAAAGAGCTTAATCTTAAGCTAATAATAATATTTTTTATTGAACAAACATTAGACGCAGATTACTTTGAAATCTCACAGACTATCGCTAGGTATGTGATAAATAGATTTCTTATCAATGCGGATTTCTGAGCAGAGCAAGAAACAAAATGCATATCGGCACTACTTCAATTGTTTCAATTGCTTTACTTATTTTTGAACATAAAAATATTAGCTTTTCTAAAAGTGGGTCGGGAGTACGTGCAGAAATTTGGTCACCTCCAACGAGTGTGGATCTTCAATCGCCTGCTGATAATGAGTGGCGATGCGGAGTTGAATGAGCAGCTGCTTAGTAGCCAGGAGCATCTGGTGAAGCATCCGGTGTACAAAGTGCTTGGCCAGTGGCTGGGCAACGGACTGCTGCTCAGCGATGGGAAGGTGTGGCACCAGCGCCGCAAGATCATCACTCCCACGTTCCATTTCTCGATCCTCGAGCAGTTTGTCGAGGTATTCGATCAGCAATCGAACATTTGCGTCCAAAGACTGCTGCAAAAGGCCAATGGCGATACCTTCGATGTCTATCGGAGCATTTGTGCTGCAGCATTGGACATCATAGCCGAAACAGCTATGGGCACCAAAGTATATGCCCAGGCCAACGAGAGTACACCTTATGCTGAGGCAGTCAATGAGTAAGTGCCGCCATCGATTTGAAATGAATAAATGAAATATAGGGGCACATTTGGTAATCCCACACAGATGCACTGCCTTGCTAAGCTGGCGCTTCATGTCAGCTTATCTGCAGGTGGAGCTGCTGTTCACCCTCACCCATCCTCACCTGAAATGGCGCCAAACGCAGCTCATCCGCACGATGCAGGAGTTCACCATCAAGGTGATCGAGAAGCGTCGTCAGGCCTTAGAGGATCAGCAGAAGCAATCCAAGTTGGTGGAGCATGTCGATGAGGAAGTGGGCTCCAAGCGGCGCATGGCATTGCTTGACGTGCTGCTGATGGCCACCGTTGATGGCAGACCGCTGACCAACGATGAGATTCGCGAGGAGGTGGACACGTTCATGTTCGAGGGTCACGACACCACCACCAGTGCCTTGTCCTTCTGCCTGCACGAGATATCGAGGCATCCCGAGGTGCAGGAGAAGATGCTGGCGGAGATCCTCAGTGTGCTGGGCACCGATCGAAGCCGACCAGTTAGCATTCGGGATCTCGGAGAGCTCAAGTACATGGAGTGCGTGATCAAGGAGTCGCTGAGGATGTATCCACCAGTGCCCATCGTAGGGCGCAAATTGCAGACTGACTTTAAGTACAGTAGGTTTCGCAATTATTCTAAGTTTCCAAAATAGCAATTTATTTAATGTGCTTATTGACTCTTATCAGCGAACTCCGTGTATGGAGATGGAGTAATTCCAGCCGGCTCGGAGATTATAATCGGAATCTTTGGTGTACATCGCCAACCCGAAACTTATCCCAATCCGGACGAATTTATCCCCGAACGACACGAGAATGGATGTCGCGTGGCTCCATTTAAGATGATACCATTCAGTGCGGGACCCAGGAACTGCATTGGCCAGAAGTTCGCCCAGCTGGAGATGAAGATGATGCTGGCCAAGATTGTCAGGGAGTACGAGCTGCTTCCCATGGGTCAAAGGGTCGAGTGCATTGTGAACATCGTTTTGCGATCGGGAACGGGCTTTCAGCTGGGAATGCGCAAGCGAAACAGTAACTGAGCACTAACTAGTTTAGGTTGTAAAAAGACACGTATTATTCTCTAATCATAAGTAAAAAATGTGTAATTAAAGGCTGTATACCAAATTTTATTGGGCGTAAATTAAATGGCGTTTCCAGCGATTTCACGTGGCTTTAATGCCAACTGAAAGCCGTTTGATGATCCCATTATAAGTCGCAAGTCCAAGCGCACCTCATCGCCATAGGGCAACAGTTCAAAGTTGGCCAAAATAGGAGCCAGCAATGTTTTTAGTAGCTGCATACTAAACTTTCGCGCTGGACAACAACGAGGACCGAGACTAAAGCTCAGGAGTTCCGGAGGAGAGTCCAAAAATCGCTCCGCTTCGAAGTGGTTTGCTTTGGAATATCGATTCTCACTGCGCTGCAGTTCATAGAGATTTATGTAGATCTCTGAACCAAAGGGGAGATCTCCATCTCCCACGATACTGTGTGCTGTTGGAAATCAAATTAGAACGAGTGTGTTATAAAAGACACGTTACTCATACGCACTGTAGGCGAAATCCTTCTTGAGTTGCCTCCCAACAATCACCTGTGGTGGGTAAAGTCGCATAGTTTCTTGCAGAACAGCGTCCAGATAAGATAGCTTTTCCAGGTCCCAGCCTTGATGCTGATCCTTGATCTGAGCCAGATTTAACTCCTCCACACACCTTTGCTGAACCGATGGATTTCTAGCAATTGTGACGAGGCAGAAACATAGAGCTGAACTGCAGAGCAGATAGCCCAGATAATTACAGGTATTCAGCTCTCCACAGATTTCTTGGGTTGTAAGTTGGGTATCTTTACTTTCCAGGAGCATTTCCAAAAGGCATTCAAAATTCTTCGTAGGTATTGGCGCTAACTGATACGTGTCTGCAATTTTCAATTGCTTTTGACTTTGGTGAGTGGCTATGAGATTCTTGTGTTCCTCATTTAATACTTTTATCAATCGATTCTGACGTGTTCTCATAAAAGGAGAACTCAGCCAAAAATTGAATCTGTTTGCAGACTGCAGGCTCAGAAACCGTTTTCTGTAGACCTTCGATAAACTGAAAGAGGTAACGAATATGGGCTTCGTCACATGACATTCAAGTGACATCTGTTTTTACTCACTCTTCTAGATTCTTGGAGTATTCCTCACTGGGCCTGGCACCACAGGTGATCGTTACTATGAGCTCCAAAACAATAGGACTCACAGTTTCCCAGATATCAAACACCTTTCGATCGGCCTTTTCCGCCAATTTTCGTTGCAATTGATCCGCCTGTTGGCGACTTAAATCCATCAACTGTTCCAAGTTTCCTTTGCCAAAAAGACCACTAATAAGAGCATGTCGCTGTTGCCACTGATCCGACTGACACATGAGAACGCCTCCTCCCAGCCAATCCTTCATCAGCTCATATCCCGTCTCCAGATGTGTGTCACTTTCCAGAAGCTGTCTGCTGAGCTCCAGATCCGCCAGGGGAATGAAGAGGCGATGGAAGACCCAACAGCGACTCAATGAGCCATATTTGCTGAGGTATTCAGTGCTGCGCTGGAAGAAATCTGCCAGCATTTGTAGGAAAGTAAATCTTTAGTTCAGTAAGACTTACTTTTCGGCGTCAGGAATAGCAACTTTTGCATTGCTCCCATCAGCGGCCAGGTAAAGGGACCTTTCAGGTTTTTGATCAGCGATCTCTGCCGCCGGGTCCTGAAATAGTTGAAGGCCGAGGCCAGGCAGAAACAGACGAATGTGGTGGTCAAGATCATGGTTCCAACTGAGCCAAAACACCGTCCCCGTTTGTCTATGCTAATCGCAGGTTATCGCAATCGCCTGCATCTATACTATCCACGGTTTATGGCCGTTCGAGGGGCAGTGCTAATCTCACAGGGGTCTTAAATTTCTTGTAATCTTATCGATAGCCAAGGGGGTCTGTCAAAAAATAACCAAGCGATAGTAAAATCTCCGGATAAGTTAAGATAAGTTTGCTATTTTATTCTTGTATATAGTACTTCATAATCAAATTATATCTGCTTACAACGACAGACAGTTGAATTTATCTGCTTCTTTTTTTAGTTGAAAAAAAAAATAATAAGATATAAATAAAAAAATTGCAACATTTTACTTTTGTAGCTTGCAATGCGTTCCACAAAATGTTGCGTAGTGTGTCAGCAACATGTTGCTAGATAATATGCAAACTTAATGCAGACTTCATTAATAAAAAGCGTACAGTAAAAAATAGATATTAATTATGCAGAATTAATCATGATTCATTATAAATTTAAATAAAGTGTATATGGGCTGACATATTTTGATTCTAAGCGCATATCTCAGTAAAGCGAAATGTGGCTTGGAACTTAAGCAAGCGAGCAAACTTGATTGGCCAAGTTGAAAGTTGCCAATAACCGTTGGGGGTTGGGGTGCCATAACAGATACTAGTGACTAATAAATATTTAAATACTAACCCAACATTTATGGCTGCTGAGCTGGGTGACACGATTCGAAACTATTAAACAAACCAATTTGGGGCAATCGAGTGGGGAGGACAGCAAAGGACGAAGGACGTAGGACGAACGCCTTGGGGCCATAAGCAGCTGTTGTCCCGGCAAGCAAACAAATCTTTTGTCTTTTGCCCGTTGCGGTTGCCGGGGTCAACGGAGAGGGTTGGTCAACCCTTTCAGGCTTCAGGAGTTTCCAGCAATCGGACTGTCAAAAGTACATTTGCCTTGGTTACGCCACAGAAATATCCCCCAAGCATGTAATGACAATATCAGCCGACCTTCCTGCCCCAGACCACCACTTGTGTATATCTCTTGTATCTTGTATATATCCTTGCCCTCGGGGAGTTGGCAAAACTGGGGTGTTCCTTCAAACCGAGCGGAGTTTGTTGTGTTCCATTTTCATTTTGCGGCGTTGATGAAACTTTAATGACACTCCGCACGCATTCGAGTGGCAAATGGCAAAAGGCAAGAAGGGCCATGTGTCCAGCTTCGTTTTTTGCCTCCAGCCCCGGCATTTTTCTGCACAATTTCACTTTGAGGCAGCAAACAGACAAAGCCGGCTAATGGCGGCTAATGAAGCCAGTTTTATTGGGGATTTTGTGGGCCGTTGAACCCGGCTGGAAGCAACACCGAAGTTCCCAAGTTGGCCATACTGTGTGCATGTATTTATGAGGCCCAGGTATTCAGGCATTCATACGTCAATGTCACGAGTCACGAGTCGCAAGTACAAGGACTCTCCTCCTGGAGTCGAGTGCAATGGTCACTGGTTACTGGCCACGTGACCAAACACCAAATACCAAACATTCCGTTCGCCACCGTCTCGCATATGCAAATGAACAAAAAATTTGATGACAGCGTCGCCGGTGACAATGAAAAGTAAGCGCACTACAAAGCCAACAGGACGAGTGTTACGCAAAAGCACAAAAATAACCAACAGGAAAAATAAGAGCAAAAAAATCCTAGACCGACAAACAGCGGCAGGACAAAAATCCTTTCACATGCCTGCCGAATATGAGCTCCGTCGAAAAAATGTAAAACAAAGACATTGCAACAATTTACATTCCCATTGTTCGCCTCGGCGGCAGATACAGGTTCGCAAAAAGCGGCAGATAGTTAGATACAGATACAGATACACATGCTTACAGTGCGATTCGAATTCGATGGCCCAAGTATAAGTGCTGCATCTAAAAGCGTTTTTGCTTCAAAAATATTGGCTTTTTACAGGATTTTTTAATTTTTTACCTTTTTAAAAACATTTAAATTTATTTTTGTAAAGCTCATTTTTTTAGACGCAGTGTAGTTTTGCCCCTAAATTGCAAATGCAGTCGGTCAGCCGACAGGTTAGAGACAGAAATAGAGCAGAAAAACACATGGAAACCGATGACAACTGAAGTAGAGAAGTAGAAAGGACTTAAGAAACTGATAAAAATAAAAATGTATAGAAGAATTTTATGTAAAATAATGCTAATGTAAGCAAATGTCTGTATTGTTCTTACAGACATTACAAAAAATATTTCTTTTTCACATAATAACATTTGCATCAGAAACTTCTGTAGGGTATTGCAAAACCGTGCTGGCCGAGATATTTTCCGCCCTGTTCGACGTTGGCATCGTGCTTTGTCTTGGTGTTGTTGGCCACAGGAAGCATTTTGCATGAATTGTCCATAAAAATGATATGCACATCAAGATTGTCTGATGTGACTTCTGCGATAAGCGTGAAAATTTGCTTACTACCAAAGCTCATACTGCAAGCATTTCGAGAAACTTTAATGTGAGGGAATTCCCCAATTATAACAGCTAATCAGAATGAACGATACTCGGCTAGACATTTCATTTGGCCACTGCAGCTAAAAGGTTTCCATCAGTCTCAGGCAACCGCCCTACGCCCACTAACCTGCTGTTAACCCACCTCTCAACCGCCACCCCCATTAACCATCACCCATTAGGTATTGCCCATTATAAGCTGGGGCTTGGATAATAATAGTACCATCAATGCACAGAGAAAAAAGTTATACCTCAAATTTTAGTAACTTTAATACATAGCTTAGTAAAATTCAGTCACTCAATAAGTAACATATTTCGGTTACTTCTTATCCACGATGGAGCCCGATTGTGTACATTTTTATTAAAACTCAAGTGATATGGCATTTTCTCAGTGAACGGCAGCCTCCACACACTGGCATATTAATAGTCCGCATACCTTTTCCTTTTCCCTGGTCCCCGAACCCCCATTTTCCGCTTTCCCAGATGTCATATGTCAGGCGGCCGTAATATTACGAGCTGATGACTGCGTTATGATTACTGTCAGCGGCAGGCACTCAATGAATAAGCAGATGAGAGAGTCTCAGCCTGCGAGCTTTTCGTGCTTGTGGACTTTTCACGCATTTTCCGAAAGAGGAAACCACACAACACCCAACCAACCACCACCCACTCGCACCACCACATGTGACTTGAGGTGCCCCGCAGCGGCAACAACTTTGACTCGGCAACAATTTATCACAGCCAATTTAACCACTTAAGTGCGAAAAAGGTTTCAGCAGACTGAACTTAACGTGGCTCAAAAGTGAAGTAGCACAGTGCATGTGAGATAAAGTATTGCATGCATTTCGGCCTGCAATCTGGCCACTGACCACCGAATGTTCGAGTATCTGTGTGTCTGCCAGCGGCATTTATTTGTTTACAATCTGTTTGCGCAAAAGCTGCCGCAAGGCTTAAAAATCTGCATTTGCATTCTGACACCAGTTGGGGATTGTGAGGAAGGTGGACGAATTTGAGGTCCTGGTGCGAGTGCAAGGACTAATTGAAAAAGCGAGTTTCCATGGCAGTGCACATTTTTCAATGGAATTCCATTTTATACACAATCACATATTTTTGTTGAAAATTGACATTTTGTGCTAGCAAAAAGAATCAAATAATATTATTGATTAAATATCAAATGAAGTATTTTTCATTTGCATTTCAATAATAGCAAGATGATATGCATTTACTGACCAAAGAGTGACTGCTTTTCATTAAACTTACTAAAAAAAGCTCAAACAAACCCTTTTATGTACTAAAAATTAACCAATTATCTTTACTTCCACTTATGTTTATTATACATATAATTATCGCCTAATCAAGGTGCAGGTTGTTATCCTCTTGGGCCGCTGATTCTGGTAAGATAAGTAGTTGGTTACTTTGGAATCCTAGAAGCAGAAGCACTTACCTCTCAAAAATCATTTGAAGAGTGCTGCGCTTGAGAATGAACAGCACAAATACAATTATGCCGGAACCCAGATGGATAAAATTCGGCACCCGAAGGACTTGTCGCCAAAAAGAGTGCCGCTTCGCGAAGTAAGTTATTACCTCAGAAATTCCAGTCACACCCATCATTACAGACAGACGCAGGTATAGTAAAAAACTATGGTTGGAAAATGAATTGGAAATGGTAAATGAGAAAAACTTAAAGCTTACTCATAATGCTTCATGCACTTTTCCTGCTGTTGGGTAGAGTTTTCCACGCTATTCTTAACCTTCCGAATGTGATTCACAGTCAGAATAAACGTGAACACATTAAACAAACTCAGGACCAGCATCGGTCCATATAGGTATATCATTGCTGACCAGTCGTAAGCTGTGAAATATTAAACAATTATCAGTTTTCCATAGTGCCTTACTACAAAACCCACTGTTTATCCAACATCGATACAAGCCAACGCCGGGAATCCAGTTTAGTTTGTCAGGCCTATCCCTCCAAGCCCAATCCACCAGATACGTAACTCCCGTCATGATGGCAGGTGTGCCCCAACCATAGACGTTGTAGGCGAGAAAGTGATAGCGGGGCTCATCCCGATTGATCAACCTCAAGTTTTTCCATATGTGATAGCTCATGACAGAGAGCCAAAAGTGGGCGGCCAGAGCAAAGAAGTAGTTGGTGTAACCTGTGAAAGATAAAAGCCTGTTTCAAGTCCAGTCTCGATGCGGAATCAACCAACCTGCTAGAGAGCAAATATTAATCCACAAGTTCAGATCTCCTCCTGCCCAGATAAGGTACTGCGCAAACTTGCAAAACACATAGCATACGAAGCATTTTCCGAGCCGATTTCGCAGCTTTTTTATGTAGAGATAAACGGCGATGGTGAGAACACAGCCCACCATGGAAATTGTACCGACTGAAAGAATCAAAGTATTTATAAGACACTCAGTTCAGATGAGTTAATAGTACTGACTCTGCGGTACAGCTGGCATCGATCGCGGTATGTACACATGTTCCAGAAGCCATATGGAATTGGGATCTTCCAGACGGGGATAGAGGCAGTACCACTGCTTGGCCAATGTCCAGTTTACAGCGGGGTTGATCATAAAGCTGCCGTTCTAAGGAGATGGAGTTAATTGGAGAAATCTCAAACGGATCAAAACTGAACCTCAAATAACTTGTACTGATCCTCCTGCACCGTAACCACCCTCTCGCAGTACCGAAATTCATTTCTTAGAACGATCATGTCGGTGAGCAGGTGATATGTTTTCCTAGATCCATCCTGCAGGGTGATCTTTAGGTAGGGATTGATACGCCTCAGGTTCTCGGTGAGGCCATCGCTGCAGCGACTATGCGGCAACATTTTGCTGCGGGCACAGCAGAATCGGATGCAGAGTTTTAGCTTGCAGATACAGGCTCTTAAGTGAGTCTGCACTGGCTCCTGGGATCCGTCTGCCAGTTGCCTGAATGTGTAAAGACCCGTGAGGTGACCAGGTATGATTACCCCCTCGTACGCATATGAGTCATTCAGCTTTGGGATGTGAGATATATCCACCGTGTCAAAATAGTCGCATCCAGGAATAACTGCCTGCGATTGGGTTGACATCGCGAAAACGATTATAGCGAGTATATTTCGACCCATTTCCTGCAAACTGCGTGTTCCGACTAAACTCCATAAACTCCATGCCCATAGCTCACTCAAGTCTAAAGCTCTTGTACGGCATCATTTATTATTTTATCGGTTTCTTATTGTTTTATTCTTCTCATTCAGATGGCAAAATAATCGTAGCTAGGTCCCCTGAGTTTCATTATCAAATAAGTGGTGAAAATATGCGGTGCTTTTTATTCACACAGTTGGAATAACAAAACATTTCTTTCAGTAAGCGCAAAACATTGAAACCACTGCCAGTTTCATCGCATTGTTTCTGGCAAGAAATCTGAATTCCTAATGAGACGAAATAGATGCTTAAAGTAATGTTATGTTATAATACGTTAACGATTTATTATACTCACTTTACTTTGCCAGTTTAATGTGCCTGAGCTTAAATGGCCACGACCATATGCGAATCACGACCTAAAGGGCTTCAGCTGAATGGCACCAAATCGGCTTTGGCTGCTCTCCCTTTCAGCCATTTACACATATGTGTGTAAAAGTGCGAAATCATGTTTTGCTTGACAAAATCTGTATAAATCTAAAGACCGAATGCCAGCAGTCAGCTCAGCACAGAGCTCTCGCAACGTTGGGATTAAGTGGAAAATGGAAAATGGTTGGGTGGAAGGACGAATACGACGAGGTATTCGAAGCCATGCAAATGGATTGCTTTGGGGCCTCTGGGGGTCAAATGGAATTAGCCGCCATTTTCCGAGGGATAGATGTGGAAAGGTCCAAGGAACAAGACGCGAACACTTGTTGCGCCGCCCAGACCATTTTCACACTCATTAAAAATTTGCATAATTACGGCAGCCTGCCGGCTCATTAACACTTTCGAGGTAGACAGGACTTAAGGACCCAGGACACTCGTAACCAAATGAGCTTTTCATAAGGCCGCGCGAATGTTGAATTATAAATGCATGGAAATTAAAAACAATTACATGATATTCCATTTTCCGCTCACGGCTCGTGCATGTATTAACAAATAAAGTGCCCATAACGATGCTTATCCTTTAAGCCACACCAAACTGTTAGCGGATATGCGCCCCCACAAAAATAAAGGGCGTGGCTGTCAGAAAAGGGCTATCAATTTGCATTGCGTTTGGCTCATTAGCGTCGCTGCCACTGACCACTTGTAAATTTGGCATGTCTATATGGGATATTCGGAAAATTTATAGCCCTGTGGATGACATTAATTCGGAGAGTGTTTGTGCTTTTCCTGTAATATTGGAGAATATTAATTATATACATTCTAAGTTAATAAGTTGAGTTATGGAGTTTAGAACTTCAGCCTTGGAACATTTCCTAATTCTACATCATCATATGATCAAAAAAATTACAAAAAAATTAAATTTATATAATTTTCTAAACTTGAATGCAGTTTTTTAGAGAGTTGCGCCAGAATCATTTAGAGGTATGCAACTTCAAAATCCGATAAAGAAAAGTTGAGTTATGGAGCTTAGAACTTCAGTCTTAGGACACTTTTTAATTTTTTTGAATTTCCACAACATCATAACATCAGAAAAATGACAAAAAATTACAAAAAAAATATATTTCTAAATTTGAATGCAGATTATTAGAGAATTGCGCCAGAAACATTTAGAGGTATGCCACTTCAAAATCCGATAAATAAAAGTTGAGTTATGGAGCTTAGAACTTCAGCCTTGGGACATTTTCCAATTTTGTTGAGCTTCTACAACATCAGAAAAATTACAAAAAAGTACAAAAAAAATATATTTCTAAATTTGAATGCAGATTTTTAGAGAATTGCGCCAGAAACATTTAGAGGTATGCCACTTCAAAATCCGATAAAGATAAGTTGAGTTGTAGAGTTTAGAACTTCAGTCTTAGGACACTTTTTAATTTTTTTGAATTTCCACAACATCATAACATCAGAAAAATGACAAAAAATTACAAAAAAAATATATTTCTAAATTTGAATGCAGATTATTAGAGAATTGCGCCAGAAACATTTAGAGGTATGCCACTTCAAAATCCGATAAAGAAAAGTTGAGTTATGGAGCTTAGAACTTCAGCCTTGGGACATTTCCCAATTTTGTTGAGCTTCTACAACATCATAACATCAGAAAAATGACAAAAAATTACAAAAAAAATATATTTCTAAATTTGAATGCAGATTTTTAGAGAATTGCACCAGAAACATTTAGAGGTATGCCACTTCAAAATCCGATAAAGAAAAGTTGAGTTATGGAGCTTAGAACTTCAGCCTTGGGACATTTCCCAATTTTGTTGAGCTTCTACAACATCATAACATCAGAAAAATGACAAAAAATTACAAAAAAAATATATTTCTAAATTTGAATGCAGATTATTAGAGAATTGCGCCAGAAACATTTAGAGGTATGCCACTTCAAAATCCGATAAAGAAAAGTTGAGTTATGGAGCTTAGAACTTCAGCCTTGGGACTTTTCCCAATTTTGTTGAGAAAAATTACAAAAAATTACAAAAAAAATATATTTCTAAATTTGAATGCAGATTATTAGAGAATTGCGCCAGAAACATTTAGAGGTATGCCACTTCAAAATCCGATAAAGAAAAGTTGAGCTTCGAACTTCAGCCTTGGGACATTTTTTAATCTTTGAATTTCTACAACAAAGTACTTTTAAGGTACATTTCATTAGTAGCTTTGTAAAAAAACACATGAATAAGTTTAAAACTATACCATTACTGGTTTAAGGTTCACAATTGATACTCCATAAGCACACCTCGTTGAGGCCGTCATTTGACAAAATAATGCGGTTTCGGACCAGCTCGATGGCTCGAATGTATTCGAAAAGCTTGAATTACAACGGCAAGCAGGGAAATATTTATATAAAATATATGAGTAATTAAATGTCAATAGAATTAAGCCAGACAAAGTGGCGCAAACATTGAAATGCAGTGAACAGGAATTTCGATGAGCAAAGCCAATAAAAGATGTGTATTTTTGAGAGGAAACAATATTTAGTTGCACAATAATTTGAGACTACTTTGATTAACTAATATTGATTTAAATTCAAGGCATTGAAGTGCCGCTGTCAAGTGAAGAAACAAACTTATTGCCCAGAATTGCTGAATTTGCAGGCAAATTGCTGCGTCGCTAAGCCTTAAGTCCAACAAGAAAAATCACTTTTCTCCGCCAGACGGACATTTTTACTTATATAATCTTTTTTTTTGATTTTGGGTGGCTTGGGATTTGCTTTCGATTTTCCAACGGCTTTGCCGAATGATTCCCGCTTAATATGCCAAACACAATTTGACTTTTATTCAATATGCAAAAGATACGCGTCAATTTGTTGCTTGTCTGCAGAACTTTTTAATCTGATCGATATGCACTCCTCGTCTTTCACTCTGACTCTTTAAATCTTCAATTCACATGGCTGGCATTAACTTCTGGCGTCTAGTGGCAACATAAAAGATGTTGTGGCCAGATTTATGTTGGCAGTTTTACAGTCATTTTAAGCACCACCCCGCAGAACAGCTACTTAAGCCACTGAGCTCGCGCTGAAAACTTTTGCAACTATTAAAGTCTTAAGTAGAAGTGGATAAAGAGAAGCTGCCACAGTCGGCAAACTGTAAATGCATTTCCACCAACAGCAACAACGATATCACGTTGCAAGGGAAAACTTTCTTCCACTGTTGTTCTACTTATGCGGCCTGGCCAACACTTTCCGTTCGTTGGTTTGTTTGTTTCTGCGAGGACAAGACAAAAACTGACTTAAGCCCACATTCCGAGCTTGGTATGGGTGTTCTTGAGTGGGTCAAAGGAGTGCCAGGTGTGCTGAATAAAGAGATTAGGGGTTCTAGTTCAAAAGTATACAAAATGTCAGCTTGCATGTTTGTTACTACATGTTTAACTGAATGTATGCAGCATATTTTAATCAAAGGTCTCTAGCTTGGTTATTTAAGGATAGGCGTTATAAAAGTACTCATAATCAGGATACAGTATTTAAAAAATCAGCTTAAAGCCCACATGCATACTTCAGTTAACCCATAAAGATACATTTCCACCTGATACTCGACTCCTGATACTTGTGGGTTAAAACTTTATCAAAGTAATATATTTAGAGCACCTGATAACACTTTTTCGATTTCTTTGGGGCTTAACATTTTTTTGACTTATGGTAAAAGCAAACGAAATGTCAAATGATATTCCAATTCCCGCCGCCATCCGCACTTTCCCATAATATGCACCCTCTTTAGCCTTAAATCAATGTTGACAAAAGTTTTATTGGATAAGTTTGTTTAACGACAAGAAAGAGTAGACGCACACAAAAGGGCAGGTAAAAAGGCAAAAGTTCTTGCTATTTTGCTGAAAAATCAAATTGAGCAAAAGTTGATCTTCAAACCGGATAGAGCCAATGAAAAGTAGGGGGTGCGGGTATGGAAGCTGGAAAAGTTTTTGCAAAAATCGTTGGACGCGGCAAGTTTGCAATTTGATTTGTGTTCAATGTGCGCGCAATTGATTAGGCATTCTGCGAGTTCATGAATGTCCACTTCGTGTAGAACAAATCAGTACCAATCTTGTACAATTGTTTGTATGTTTGCACCATCGTTTAAGGTTCAGGCAATCGCAAAGTTTAAACAGGCACATCTCGACGGATTCAATGGTTTTAAATAAATATAAATACTGAATATTATATTTAGTTTCTTGTTAAGTTTCTGAATCCCTAAAAACACAGCAGTCATTATAATTCTCGCTGTGTGCCTAACTTGAAAGTAAGCCCGACTATCTTCAGCTGGAAGCTTGCCAAGTGTGGCACACTGAAGTTTTGCGGCAAGGACTAACAACTGTTGCAGGAATCCGAACTTCACACCCTCGCATGCATAATGGCATTGTGGTTTTCCGGCCGCAGACTCCTGCTGTTTAATATGCTGTTAAATTGCATTAAAATTTGAAAAGAGTTGGCTCTGTGCTGGCTGGCTGGCTTCCTGATAAGCGCATTACGAGCTGCAATCGCCGATAGTCGTGCTTTCTCATGTGATCCGAT